AACACGCACGTTTAAACAACAAATAGCCTAATAAAATCTGAACCAGCGCTTCTGCGCCTGTATTGACACATAACATGCAGCGCGCGTTTCAGTTTCAGTGGCCTTAATAGCCTATTGTTCGACAAACGCGGCGGTGGTGACTTGAATTTATTTATTACTCATTAGACCGAACACATGGCTGAGTGGTAGAGCATAGGGCTACTGTTTTACCATTACAAACACATGGGTTCGAAGCTTGCTCAAACATAGATTACTTTTTATATTTAGGCTATTAATGCAGAAAGATTTGTTCTAAAACTCTGTTACACCATTTAGTTTTTTTGCTTATATTTATAAAATAAAATGACCATGCATTTCTATTTTAAACTAAGGAACAAATCTCTTCCAACAGATTGACTGAATTTACATCTTCAAAAGCAGTTATGCAAAAAATATAGAAAATAAAACTTAATGGGGTTCCATGTAGAATTAAAAAAACACCCCCCCCCCCTCCACAGTAATCAATGTTATAATTAGCCTAGACCATATCAAATATATTTATTTATTTATTTTTAAATATGCAACACGCATGTTTAAACAACAAATAATAAAATCTGAACCAGCGCTTCTGCTCCTGTATTTGAGAGATGTCAGTTTCAGTTTCAGTGGCCTTAATAGATTGATTCACGGCTTTTTAAAATGTCACGAATTGTTTTGAGGTGGTTTTGAACGAAATATTGAAGTTTATAATGGAGTATTTTTTTTTGACACACCACCACGCCCAGTGTAGGCCTAGGATCAAAAGCTACCCAATATATCGGAAAATATTTGAGTGGGTCAGACATGATTTTGACCACCAATTAAGTTTTGTTTTGTAGAAAGCTTGTAAATTTCGTTTCGGATAATTCTTTCTTCATTGTAATAAATGTTTCATCATCAAATTGACTGGATTAACACATTAGAAGTAAATATCAGACAATATAATCAGGACACAGAGGCGCAATATGAACTAGAAAGCTTTAAATGTCTACTTTTAAACAAAACATTTAAACACGAAAATAAATTGGCAACTCTCTGCGTAAGGCAGCAGGCTAATTCGAAGTAGCCTATGCGTTTAGGCCTATGCGCGTTCACTGCGAAGGCGAGTCAGCATCATCAACTTTATGCTGCTGACACAGACAGAAAACACTAGTTTACTAGAGTTTAGAGGAGCATGTTTGCAACAATAACACAATCAAACAGAATGTAAGCCCTGTGTGTGTGCATGTGCAGTTGTGTGTGTGTGCGTGACACGTTAAATGTTTTAGAATGTAACACAACATTCAAATGCAAATATGCGCCCTCCCCCACTTGAAAGCCCGTGTGTCCACCAAAGCGTTTTTCCACACGCCTGGCGTGTTTTCCCCAGAATTGTTTTCAATGGGAGCGACGCGTTTTTTTAAACGCCATGAGCGTAATCAAAGCAGCTCCTGAGATTAGACTAGCGTTTTTAGTATGTCCTTTTTTTCTTCGAACAATTCAAGAACAATATAGGCTATAGGCTACAAATTGAACATGGTTTATTTTTTGTAAAACTTTAAAACTGGCCTTTACTTTTCTTGACGATTCCTCGGTAGCTTTTGTTTGAAGGCATTCAGTTGCTCCAAAAACACTAACGTTAGAAACATAACTGCACTTTATCACAACGGATTAATAAACCGTACCCACGAGTTCCTAATCCGTGCTCTCAGATTTGTAAACCGTGCCCTCAGTTTTTGCAATCTGTACCCACAAATTCATAAACCGTGCCCACGCTTTCGCAATCCGTATGGGTTTGTAATCCGGACTCACGGGTTTGTGGCTCGTCCCCCAGAGTGTGCCGCATGATTCACAACACAGTCTCATGAAGATGCGTATCTCCTGTTTAGATGCGGGATGCATTGCATTGTTTTTAAAATCCTTTTTTAAAATGGATCATTTCTTGCATTTAAAAAAAATAAATACATTTAGGATACTTTTATTTTTAAAGTAAATTTTTAGAGGAAAAAGCTCAGTACTATAATAAGCGAAAATAATAATAATAATAATAATAATAATAATTAACACAGTTCAAAAACTGTAAAAGGTTTGGTTATAAGTTATAAATTATTTTATGTTAAATATATTACTGTCGTCGGTTAACTCATTCATAGTAGCCTAGTAATGCAAATAAAAATGCATTTAGGCTACAGGCCTATTTAGAAGACGCTTTTATCCACAAAAAAGAACAAAGCAATTCGTCAAATGTCAGTCTTAGACAATAATAATAGGCTACGATTCTAACAAACAAACACAGGTTTTAACGTATATCCAACTGTTTGTGTGCATGTCACGGCCGCGGCCGCAAACACTTGCATGTTCCTATCAACAGTGGAACAATTTATAATAATCTAGCATTTCTGGTCATACGGAAAAAAAAAAAATACATAATACATTATTTGCAACTACTTTATTTGTGTAAACTCACAATAACAAGAAAACGTCGTTATTTTTCAGACACATGCCTATAAATCACCTAAATCATCTCTCACATGCTCTTCTCATTTAGCACTGCGGGCAAAATATAGTTTTTAGAAAGTAAAATCTATTTTTTTTTTCATATTTATTTGCGAATATTTTAAATGTTTAATAAAGGCAAAAAGTCAGCCTATGCGTCAAAATCTTGTGTTTAGGCCTATATTTGTGATATTCTCAGCCCTGTTTTATTATTGTCTAACCAGGCCTATTATGACTGACATTTGACGAATTGCTTTGTTTCTTTTTTTTTTTTTTTTTATAAAAGCGTCTTATAAATATGTAGCCTAAATGTAATAATAATAGCATATTATTATTAGGCCTATTATTTGCGTTTATAACTTAAAATGAGTTCAATTAAGACAGGAATATGTAAAACAATTTATGAATGTTTTATTTTTATAGACCTATAACTTTGTGTTTGTCTTAGGCTATATTTATTTATTTATTTTTTTTGTAGCCTAAGTGAAGTCCTTTTAAAAACAATGCATCCCGCATCTAAACAGGAGGCCTGGTTGAATCATGCGGCACATTCTCGGGGACGAGCCACAAATCCGCGAGTCTGGATTACACACCCGTGAGTAGCCTACGGATTGCGAAAGCGTGGGCACGGTTTATGAATTTGTTGGTACATATTTCAAAAACTGAGGGCACGGTTTACAAATCTGAGAGCAGGGAATAGGAACTCGTGGCTACGGTTTATTAATCCGTGGGCACGAATTGTTAAACCGAGGGAACAGTTTGAGAATTCAGTGAGTAGCCTACAGTTTATAAATTGAAGGGACGGATTGCAAAAGCTACCTATTTAAGCTTCAAGAACGGTAGGATAAACATAAAAGCTGTCGGCCAAGAGCATGTAACGAGGTTCGATCTTGCGTCGTTTGGAAGTATATGAGGTTGAGGATGATGCGTTAACCACACAGCTATCGCTGGACTGCTGATGCGCTGTCGTCTTATACGATTCTAAAGCCTCATTGATGTAGCCTAATATGTTTTGACTGCAATGTTTTAAGGTTTCATTATTTTTTCAATTTAATTTCAGTATTGTGATTAATTAATTAATTTAACTACGTTTCACTTGAATTAATCTGCTACCATTTTTCAATCGCTCTGAAAGAGCCGCGGCGCAGCTGAAGATTACACAAAAAACGGACACTTTTCAAAGTCTGTGATTGTAGCGCCTCTTAGCGGCCAAAGGCAGCAAATACACCTCAACTTTTACCGCCGCGGCAAACCTGCGGCGGTAAAAACCACATTCTGGTTGTCTACCTACTGTATATTAATATACTCATCATGAAGCAATTTGTTGTCCAAATTGTACGTTCATATGACTCGTCTATTTTGCATTCGTTTTTTTTTTTTGGTTTTCTTAGAATGTATACAATGAAAAGCTGTTTATTTTCAGACTCAGTAAGTGTGATCTAACAGAGGAAAGCTGTTCAGCTCTGGCTTCAGTTCTCAGTTCAGACTCCTGCAGTCTGAAGTTTCTTGACCTGAGCAATAATAATCTGCAGGATTCAGGAGTGAAGCTGCTCTCTTATGGGCTAAAAAAGGGCTGTAAACTAGATAAACTCAGGTGAGTTCATGTCTAATATATTAAAGGTCTCTGGGCCTTTTATTTGTCTCCATATTCAGTCAGAAGTTTTTGTTTGAAAAAAAAAATTATTCATTTGTACAAGGACAAAATTCAGTTTCTTTTATGATTTAATATTCAGGTAAATTCATGTTACATTTTCTGATGTTCATTCCTGTTCTAGACTTTCAGACTGCAGTATTACTGAAGAAGGTTATACAGCTCTGGCTTCAGCTCTGAGATCAAACCCGTCACACCTGATAGAGCTGGATCTCACAGGAAATGATCCGGGAGAATCAGGAGTGAAGCAGCTTAATGATTTACTACAGGATCCAAACTGTCAACTGAAGACACTGAGGTGAAAAAGTGATAATATGCATGCTAACTATTTTTACAGAAACATTATTACAGTAAAACAACAAGCTGTTGTTGTCAGTAAATGATGACAGAATTTACACATTTGGGTGAACTATCCCTGTAACTTATATTAAAATATTAAAAAAGCAGACTTTTAGGGTTTTTAGCTTTAAATATTGTTATTCCAAACACCACTTTTAGTCGGGAATTTAATTGAGTCCTCCTTGAACTTCCCCTCTGCAGGTTTTTGGGTCCTGCTGCAGATGAAGCCTGTCAGTATGTGACTGGAATTGTGGGTAGAAACCTGTTAATCGAGAGAGAGCTGAATCTGAGTGATCTTGAACAAGGAGAAACACAAGTGAATCAGATCGCTGCTTTACTGCAGGATAAACACTGTAAACTTAACACACTAACGTGAGTATTTTGTCATTTTTTTATGGCACATTTAACGTTTCTTAAAGAAATCAGGTGACCAAAACACCATTTTTCAGTAATCACTGAATGGTAACATAAAGTACTTTGTGTTTGTAAATTCTCTCTCTCCTATTGGTCATTTTAGGCTGCGTAATTGTGGTCTAACAGAGGAAAGCTGTTCAGCTCTCGCTAAAGTCTTGAGATCAAACTCCAGTTTGAAAGACCTTGACATGAGCAACAATTTGCTGTCCGATTCAGGAGTGAAGAAACTCCAGAAAGGGTTAGAAAATACAAACTGCAAATTGGAGAAACTTGGGTAAGTAGATTAAATTAACAGGTTTTTATGTTGTAAATTACTAAAAACATTCTCTTTTGTAATTTTTTTGTAAGAATTACTCTTGTAAATTTAACAGAAAGAGAAGATTTTTCTTCTGTCAGCAGTTATGATTAATAATTTTTCAATGAACTATCCTGACAAGGAACTAACAATATCTAAACTTGATTTTTGGGATAAAATATCCATTTCAGTTGTTCAATTACATTCATTATATAAAAACATTATAATTATTATTATTACAAACGTATTTTCTGTAGACTCTCAGACTGCAGTATCACAGAAGAAGGTTATAAAGCTCTGGCTTCAGCTCTGAGATCAAACCCTTCACACCTGATAGAGCTGGATCTCACAGGAAATGATCCTGGAGAATCAGGAGTGAAGCAGCTCTATGATTTACTGGAGGATCCAAACTGTCAACTGAAGACACTGAGGTAAATGTTCTTGTGGCTCAAGTGGCTAAAATGACTAAAGGCTCTTTCACAAGCATGTGAAAATAAGTAATTATAGTTATGTAAATCCTCTGTCTCCAGGTTTTTGAGTCCTGCTGCAGATGAAGCATGTCAGTATGTGATTGAAATTGTGGGTAAAAATCCGTTACTCCAGAGAGAGCTGAATCTGAGTGATTGTGAACTAGAAGACACACGAGTGAATCAAATCGCTGCTCTACTGCAGGATAAACACTGTAAACTCAACACACTGCAGTGAGTATTGTTTTCATTTATTGTTAAATATTTTAGCATCTTAAAGAAATTAGATGGGCAATCATTTAATGTTGCCATCAAGTACTTTACATTTGTAAATTCTCCCTCTTCTCTTCAACATTTTAGGCTGCGTAATTGTGGTCTAACAGAGGAAAGCTGTTCAACTCTCGCTACAGTCCTGAGATCAAACTCCAGTCTGAAAGAGCTTGACATGAGCAACAATAATCTGCAGGATTCAGGAGTGAAGAAACTCCAGAACGCATTAGAGAATATAAACTGCAGAATGGAGAAACTAAGGTGAGTGATTTAAATTAACCATTTTTTTATCTATCACAATACATTTGATTTTGTTTAAAGTTGGATTCCTCTAGACAACTTTCCCCCCAATGGGATTATGCAATAAACATTTAATTTTTATATATTTTGCAGAATTTCAGACTGCAGTATCACAGAAGAAGGCTATAAAGCTCTGGCTTCAGCTCTGAGATCAAACCCTTCACACCTGATAGAGCTGGATCTCACAGGAAATTATCCTGGAGAATCAGGAGTGAAGCAGCTCAATGATTTACTGCAGGATGGACATTATCAACTGAAGACTATAAGGTAATTAGGTTTGTCCATAAGTTTTAAAAATGTAAAGTCCACTGTATGAAACTAGGTAAAAGGCTCAAATAGTTCAGTGTTGAATAAGAATAACTGGAAGAGGACTTTACTGAATTTCAATTAAAAGAAATTCAACACAACCATACAACTGATTTTCATTTCCCACTCAAGTTGCATGACAAAACATAATCAGATCAATAATTTGAATTAATTATGATTTCTACTATTGTAGAATTGCAAAAGACATCAAATTAATATTTTTTAATACATAAAAAAATCTACCTCATGTAGATTTTTAAAAAGTCCTGCAGCAGAGGAAGCATGTCAGTATCTTACTGAAGTTCTGGGTACAAGTCCATTACTTCTGACAGAACTGGATCTGAGTGAAGATAAACTCGGAGACCTGGACTGGGAGAAGCTCTCTGCTCTTTTAATGGACTCTCATAGCAAAGTGGAGAAAATCAAGTGAGTAAACATGATTTTAGACATTAAAACCTCTCTGTTTATTCATTATAAAAGACTGTCAGTCACATTTGTGAGAAGATATGAAGAACTACTGATTTTATGTATATTGAATAATAAATAATGCTCATTTTGTATTTAGGCTGAATAACTGTGAGCTGACAGAGAAAAGCTGTTCAGTTCTAGCTACTGTTCTCTCCTCCAAAACCATCCTGAAAGAGATGAACCTGAACAACAGCCGTCTGCTGGACTCAGGAGTCAAAGAGATCTGTGAGGGACTGAAGAATCCTGTGTGTGAGCTGAAGATACTGAAGTGAGTACATTTCTCTCAACCCCACAGCAATCACATAAATATTATATATTTCATGAATTTGCTTAGAATCTTGAGTCACCGATAACCTCATAATAGTGTTACCTCTAACTAAATGTAATACTAATAAAAACTGTAAATATCCAGGCCTATAATTACATAGTATCCTAAATCTTGGAAATAATGTAAGTATGAATACATTTATAACTCAGACCAACCATATGTTAAAATTACACTAGTTCTGTCCAATTAATTACTTCACATATAAATTACAGAATACAACTAAAAGTGTATAACCGGCATATCTGATTATGTGTTCATATATTCAAATTATGGATTCAGATTTGTCAAACCACAATGTTAATTGTAATTTACGTTTTAATTTTTTTAGACTTTCAGACTGCAGTATCACAGAAGAAGGTTATACAGCTCTGGCTTCAGCTCTGAGATCAAACCCTGCACACCTGATAGAGCTGGATCTCACAGGAAATTATCCTGGAGAATCAGGAGTGAAGGAGCTCTATGATTTATTGCAGGATCCAAAGTGTCAACTGAAGACACTGAGGTGAGTGTTCTCAATATAACAAATTGCAATAGATTTAAAACTTTATCTGGACTGGAAGCATTTAGGGCTGTCAACTTTAGTCGTTTAGTCGACTAATCGGTCGATGCCGTCGTGGTCGACTGACATTCTTATTGGTCGACCAGTTGCATTTTTTTTTATTTTTTTTTACCAATAGAAGGAATTTTTCAATGACTTACTCCTTGATATTTATTCATTTATAAGCAGTTATTTATTACTGTATTCTAAATATAATTAGCCTATGTTTTGTCCCCAACTTTAAAATGCTTTAATTTAGGCTATTTTTGTAACTGCGCCACAGTTTAGCGCACACACATAATACACTCGGGAACCGCACCTGTGGCTGGCTGCGCTGCTGCTCGCGCTCGGTAAGGGATGCTGTATTCATTCAGTTAGAACGCTGCTTGTTTTGGCTTTAGTCGACAAAATGTCCAGGAAATATAAATCTTTTGTCTGGCTGCATTTTAAAACAAAGACGACAAGACTGTGGAGGGAGGCGATCGCGTTGCCATTATGAGCGCGCAAGTCGCGCGCCTACATTTAAAATCGAACTTGAGCGCGCAAAAGACGTGAGCAGCCTTTTAACGGCTATATCATGCTGACTCAATAGATTGTGTTTTCTTAATGTTTTCGTTTTTATTTGTACACTTGACGCATTTGAAAATAGCCTAAATAATGCAACAAAACGAAAATAAACCTATACGCGGTCCTACAGCCTATTATAGGATTGTTTTTAAGTTATTTGGGTTTTTTTGAGTGTTGTTTAAAGCGCCTTGATCGTCAGGACTAAAGTTAACCCATAGCTTTGAAAGTAAAGAAGAATATAAAGCCTGTATAAACGAGAGCTTTTGTTGGGATTTTTCATTATGTGGCAGATAGCAGTTATATTTTTTGCAGCGTGTGGTGTGGTCAGGTGCGCGATTGGGACTGTACTATAGACCTAGGACAGAGCTCTTCACTTTTTGCAGTTAAAAAATCACTTAATTTTCAAAGAATTGTATTATTATTATAGTTTTATTTATTTGTGATGTTTTTTCGTTGTTGTTTTATAAATGCTCAATGACAATTGTTTAAAAAATGTTTAATCAAAACATCACGTTTTTTTTTTTGTTTTTTGTTTTAGTCGACTAATCGTTGAGCAGGACTCGACTTTGGTCGACTAAGGATTTCTTTGGTTGAATACAGCCCTAGAAGCATTGATGTCAGTTTAAAAAAATATATTAGTAATAGATTTTAATTCAAATTAACTTTCATATAACGGTTTAATCGGAAATGTTAAGACCCCTAACATTAAAAATAGAAAACTAAATATTTGCAAATTTTCAGGCTAAAAAAGAAATAGAAAGACCCCTAACATTAAAAATAGAAAACTAAAAATTTGCAAATTTTCAGGCTAATTTAGCTACTTTTAAAATGTATTCAGCAATTTTTAGCACATTTTGAAATATATGAACTGCACAAGCTATAATGTGCACTCTAGTGTCATGATGTATGTCATGTTTTCACCATCTGCTCACTGAAATTGAATTATCTATGATCAGTAAACTTAACAGGTTAAATTAGTAACCATACCTGGAAACTCATTCCTTTCCCTTTTCTTAAGAAAATCACATAAATTAAATAATCACATAAATGGTCTATTTCAATGTCAGAATAGTGAAATTTGCTGAAATGTCCATTTTCTTTTTCTTAAGAAATGGTTTAAAAGCAGCAGTTTGATGTTTATCATTTTAAACATTTTTTTTATCATTTGTAAAGTTTGGAGTTTTGTCAAAACTTCTATTGTTTTAACTGAAAAATTGTCTAAATCATTGTTTATATTTTCATTTAACTCTTTCCCCGCCAGCGTTTTAAAAAAAAGTTGCCAGCCACCGCCAGGGTTTTTGACGATTTTCGCTAAATTTTAATGCCCCGCTGAATATTTTCTTCCATGAATATATGAAGATGATATATATAAAAATAAAGATCTGAGCCTCTGCTTTTAGGCAAAAAAAAAAAAACGTTTTTATTTTATCTTCATTTGTTCTTTTTTTTATTGCCTCTTGTACAGAGGTAGGTTTTGTCAAAAACACAACATTTTGGACAAAAAACTGAGAAAAAGGTATTTTTTATCAAACAAGTGCATTTAAAAGCAGAATACATTCAGATGTTGTTTCCTTCATATATAAAACTTTCCAAAATAAATTAAAAACATAAATAAATGTAAAATATATCAAATTTCCCAGGATGTAAGGGAAATGTAACTTTTACATTTTTACAATAAAACTTCTGCCTCTGCCTCTCTGTGTTCTACCTGTGAATAATGAATAATTGGAATTACAATAAACAGGCCTAGACACACACACACACACACACACACCTACAAATACATATTACAATGTGGTAAATGTGCACAAAGAGAGAAATAATTTGACAATTACACCTTCATATTTAGACAGCCACACATAAATGCCTGCACACACACACATAAATATTATAGTGTCATAATATTATACGATCTATCTGCGGCACGTCCATGGCTAGAACTTTCTGTGACAACATGTGCATCTCTCTCACTGACTACTTCGTCCCGATCAGATTCAGAATTATCAAATAAAGAGTGATCGGACTCCGAGTCCATTTAACCTCCAGTACTTCAGCCATATACCTCTGCATTGTCTGTCTGATACATTCTCACTACTCCACTGTTTGAGACGATTGCAATCTGTTTCTCTGATCAAAGAGTTGCGCACTCATTCAGAACATGCGCGCGGGTCTTCCTTACCGTATACCACCTAAAACACGGATACCCGGAAAATTCCGTGTTTGGCGGGGATGCGTTTTTTCATAAAACATGGAAAATTCCGTGTTTGGCGGGGAAAGAGTTAATGGTTTAGGATGTTACCATAAATTTGGAATTGGTTAAAACCCATGTTGAATTATAGAATTAAACCATCATAAGGAAACCTTTAAAATGAGCACTTTAAAATGAGCCCTTTAACATGCTAGTAAAAATAAGTCATTATATGGTGGGTAATGTCAATATTCTTCTCCTGTCTGCAGGTTTTTGGGTCCTGCTGCAGATGAAGCCTGTCAGTATGTGAGAGGAATTGTGGGTAAAAACCCATTACTCCTGAGAAAGCTGAATCTGAGTAAACATACACTTGGAGACACACAAGTGAAACAGATCGCTGCTCTACTGCAGGATAAACACTGTCAACTCAACTCACTGATGTGAGTATTGTGTTCATTTATTATTGTATGTTTACAGTCTTGAAGTGTATTAGTTTATGTGTAATCCAATAAGTATATAACAAACTGTAAACTGTGAAAACTGGAGTTTTCTCCAAACAAAGCTCAAATTTACCTGGATAGACTTTTGCGAAATAGGCCACTGAGATCAAACTCCAGTCTAATGCTTCTGTCAGATGATGAATTATGTTTTTCTTCTCTGATCAAAAGATAATAATAAAATGCATTTCAACCTTTTTGATAAAAAATCTTAAATATAGAATATGATATATTAAATATATACTACATGATGTGTATATATATATATATATATATATATATATATATTCTTTAGACTTTCAGACTGCAGTATCACAGAAGAAGGTTATATAGCTCTGGCTTCAGCTCTGAGATCAAACCCTTCACACCTGATAGAACTGGATCTCACAGGAAATGATCCTGGAGAATCAGGAGTGAAGGAGCTCTATGATTTACTACAGGATCCAAACTGTCAACTGAAGACACTGAGGTGAGTGTTATTAATAATAACGTTCTATAGTCTTAAAACATTACAGACGAAGGAGAATGATCAAAAGACATTCATAAAAGCTTTGATAGTTTTTTTATGAAAGACATTCATAAAAGCAGGTAGTGTCAATGCACTTCTCTTCTGCAGGTTTTTGAGTCCTGCTGCAGATGAAGCCTGCCAGTATGTGACTGGAATTGTGGGTAGAACACCGCTACTCCTTAGAGAGATGAATCTGAGTAAACGTGAACTAGGAGACACACGAGTGAATCAAATTGCTGCTTTACTGCAGGATAAACACTGTAAACTCAACACACTGATGTGAGTATTTCATATGTTGCAAAATGTTATGTTACGTTTAATAGTAATACAGTAGTTGATAGTTCTATTTTGTCATTTGTTAGAATTAGAGCCACAATAAAATTATTCATTAAAATGAAAAGGCTTTGTCCAAGAACTCCGAGGAAATAAGTTACATCAAACTTTATAGTTAGCTAAACAAGACAATATTTTTTTTTAAATTATCTAATCATCAGTTTTTTTTAGGTAGGAAACAGGTTGTAGAATTACAGTAGAATATTTTTAGAAATATAAATTCTGAGCTGTATTTGTCACAAAATGCTTTTCAAATGTCACAGTACTGTAATAAGACTCAAACCTTTAACATCAGTGGGTCATCAATGATCTGAGTCATTGTTTTTTCTCGTTCTGTCTTCAGTCTGTGTGGATGCAGTATTACAGAGGAACAGTGTCTCATCCTGACTTCAGCTCTGAAATCAAACCCATCACACCTGAGAGAGCTGGACCTCAGTGGGAATAGACTACAAAACAGAGGAGTGAAAATCTTATGTGACATACTGAAGGATTCACACTGTAAACTGGAGAGGTTGAGGTAACAATGAGTTACAAAATTATATTTGTAAAAACTTCACATCATTTGTGCTTTTTGTGATGTGCTGAAATAAAAATACCATCTCTTCCTTGGTCTGTTCTTATTTTCGTCTCTCTTTCTCAATGTAGGCTAAGAGACTGCGGTATGACATCTGTAGGTTGTTCTGCTGTGACTTCAGCTCTGAAATCAAACCCATCACACCTGAGAGAGCTGGACCTGAGTGAGAATATACTAGGAGTTGAAAACCTTGGTGCTCTGCTGTGGAACCCAGAATTCAAGCTGGAAATACTAATGTAAGTAACATAGTTTACAGCAGCTACAGTGTGATTAAAGTTTACTTTTTATTATATATATTTATTTTAAGACATCATGGTTCAAGTTACATCATATGTAACACTCTACCTTTGCTCATTGATCCTCTTTATATTAAGTGTCTTTAAATGTCTTAGGTGATTCGGTCATTTTTTAAACATTTACTTTTTTTGTTGAAAATAATAAAATGAATGCCAGTCTATTGCTCTTAGTGTTACTGAAAAACTGAAAAAAAAAGTGTCGAGTTGTACTCGAAATGGAACAAGTGTGATGGTCAAAATTAGACGATGTCAATTAAAATAAAAGTCTGTAGCTCTTCAGTAAGGTGGTTATCATAGATCTAAGTCTTTTCATTTGCCTATATTTGTCTTCAGTCTGTTTGGATGCAGCATTACAGAGAAACAGTGTCTCAGTTTGAGTTCATCTTTGTGTTTAAACCCATCACACCTGAGAGAGCTGGACCTCAGTGGGAATGAACTAAAAAACACAGGAGTGAAGCACTTATGTGACATACTGAAGGATTCACACTGTACACTGGAGAGATTGAGGTCAGTAACATTCACCTAGAATAAAGTGAAGTGTTTGGGTATTTGAATAAATCAGAATTAACTTTTTTTTTCATGTACATGTAGGTTCAGATACTGTGATATGACAGGTGAGGGTTGTTCTGCTGTGACTTCAGCTCTGAATTCAAACCCATCACGCCTGAGAGAGCTGGACCTGAGTGGGAATAAACTAGGAGACTCAGGAGTGAAAAACCTCTGTGATCTACTGAGGAACAAACAATGCAAACTGGAAAAACTACAGTTAGTATCATTATATTGTGCTACAGTTACAGTGTGATCAATGTTTATTACGCTGTTAGGTAATTTTGTGATGATTCAGTATTAGTAGAAAGAGCAATGTTTCATATTCTGAAATCAGACAAATTATTTACGGTACTGTGAAGTGATAGAGAAGTGACAGCAGACTAAAAATTAGCATAACATGCATTATACTAGTGTTTGTTGGTCGTTGTCTTTGTATGGTGTCCTGATTTCCTGGCGCTTTCGTTTGTTCCTGTTAAGTGAAATTTGAAAACAAATGAACTATACTACAGGTCTGTATCCTCGTCTTCAGTCATCTGCACAAACCCTGACAACTAGATTATTTTAACAGAATTACAGCACTAATAGTACTTTTGACAACATCTATTTTTATTAAGAAACATTTGTATTTAGTGATGGGAAACTACACTTAACTAAATTGTGATTCATGTACAAAATTACATTGTTTTTCTCACATTAAAAAAGTACGTTAAAATGTACATTTTTTTAAATCATTAATATAGTTTATCATATATCATTAATAATGTATTGTCCAATTTTGCCAAAGTGAAGATTGCAAATCCTTAAATCCCAGTTATTCTATATTTGTTTATGGTTATACAATTAATTTTATAGACTTTACATGGATCTGAGTCATTATATTTTCTCTTTCTGTCTTCAGCTTGTGTGGATGCAATATTACGGAGAAACAGTGTCTCATTCTGACTCTGGGTTTGTGTTCAAACCCATCACACCTGAGAGACCTGAACCTTAGTGTGAATGAACTAAAAGATGCAGGAGTGAAGCACTTATGTTACATACTGAAGGATTCACACTGTACACTGGAGAGGTTGAGGTCAGTAACATTCACATACAAGAATCAAAACATGTTTAACCTGACATTTCTAAACCCTCATATACCCTGTGTGACTTGATTCCAGTTTAAATCTTGAGTTTTTAATTGCATTTATAGTATTCGTGGTTAAGTTCAAGTTGAGTGTTTAAAAAAATCACTTAGAATGTGTGAATCTGGCATTAAATATTTAAATGCTGCATGCAACTTATTACATCTGAGTGAAAAAAATCTTGTAAAGGGGGTAAGTGCATTATATTTGTGGCAAATTTTTCACTTTAATCTTTTTGCCAAGAAGATGATATACATTTATTGAATAAAAGATAAAATGTTTGTTTGTTTAATTTCTTCCGATTTAGATTAAGACACTGTGATATGACATATGAAGGTTGTTCTGCACTGACTTCAGCTCTGAAATCAAACCCATCACACCTGAGAGAACTGGACCTGAGCGGGAATAAAATAAAAAACAAAGGTCTGAAGCACTTTTGTGGCGTACTGAACGATTCAGAATATAAATTGGAGAGATTGAGGTGAGAAGCATTTATATCAACAATAAATATAATAATTGCACGTAGTGTTAGGTACGTGCCACCTAATATGGCCTAATAGTCCTAGGAAAGCAACTATCTGTCATTTTACATTGCAGTCTTTTAAATGTAAGTACATTATTTATTATAGCGGTGTGTCATAAAACAGTAGTGAAATATGGTAGCCTACTGTTGTGTATAGTGGAAAAGTATCAAAACACATTTTCGACCATTCTTTAGCAAGCTAAACATTTTATGACCATATATTTTTTCATATATTTTACATTACGTTATAAATGTAAATATATTGCACACTTAACATCATATATTTTTATATATTGTATAAAAATTGTGTTATATTTGAGAATATATTTCAAAAGTGAACAACAATGCAAATATATAAATGTATTTGGAATATATGCCACATTCACTTTTTACACTGTAAAATAATTCAATATATTTATTTTGTGTATGGGCTTCTAACTCTTCTACTCTACTCAGATGATCAGATCATGGGTGTCCAATCCTGCTCCTGTAAAGTTTAGCTCCAACTTGCCTCAATACAACTGTCTGGAGGTTTCTATAATGCCCAGAATTACCTTGATTAGCTGGTTCAGTGTAATTGGGGTTGGAGGTGAACTCTTCGGGACAGGGTTGGACAGGGTTTATAATTTAAAAATTTTTATCATAGTACTTAAATATTGTTATGAATTAGGAAATGGCTGGTATATTTTAACATCTATCAGTCACTTTGGCTGGTAGGCTAAAGATGTCATCACATTTATGTTTGCACAGTAAGATTTCATGGGCAAAAAAAATGTTTAGTCTATAGCTTTACTAAACACCGAGGTCACTGCCAAATCAAGCAAATTTGCATGCTGAGTGAGTTAAACAAGCGTTTTTACCCTTTCCACCGAAATGGGACTCTTATTCGTGCTAGAGAACAGTATGCGAATTTATCATTTACACATATATTTGTGAATTTAAATATATTATTTAGACTACCAGGGAAAATAAAGTGTTTGAATTTATGTGTCTTGAATGACATTTCATGGCATGGACATTAATTCACTGAATTAAAAATAGAAATTGAATGCCATGATGAGATGGACATTTGTTAAAGTGAAAGTCTCTTTCTCTGTCTTTTTCCAGCCTAAATGACTGTGGCATTACAGATGTGGCTTGTTTGGATCGGTGCTTGGCTAGGACGAAATCATTGCTTTTTTTAAAAGAGCTTGATCTGAATAAGAATAAGATAAGAAACTCAATGAAGCGGCTCAGTAAAGTGCTCAAGGACTCAGACTGTAACCTGAGGTGAGTAAACATATTTTTGTCATGTCACAATAACACCACAATTAATATGATTACAGGAATTGAATGGTAGTGTAATCTGTTATTAAAAAAGTAGTTGAAATATTGTAGTTGATATTAAATTTATTTATTTTAGACAACTTGGATTATTTTCTCTTTTGATTCCTCCTTCCAGGCTAGACAGCGAACAGACTCTTTTCAGAGCCGGTCCAAAATGCTGAGTGGCATTTTGGCATTCACTGAGTGGACGTGACACCATCAGATGAGGGATCTTCAGAAGAGCTTTGCTTTAGCTCTGTATTAAATATGTGATGACCTACCCATGAAACCTACCCATCACGTGGGTTTAGACAAATTGTACGCCACTGTTGGAGGATGTGATGTCTGTAACCAAAATCTACAGCATACATTATTCAACTATGAACTCTATTCGCAACTAACAAAATTAGCACAAAATAGAAAATCAGGGTTTGTGAAGTCAAGTCAGTCACCTTTATTTATACAGTGCTTTTTACAATTACAGATTTATACACAGCTTTACAGAGATAAAAGGAAAATGACGCAACAAAATTTGTTTCCAGAAGAAAATAGCGTCACAGTCCAGCATTTATATATGAAGAGTTCAGATGCAAAAGCCTCTAAGTGCCATTTGAAATTTTCTTCTAGAATGATCATTTTTATCAAGCTTGTATATTTAAGTTCAATAATTTCACTTAAATGGCAATGATAATTACCTATTAATTGTTATTTAAGTGAAATTACTGAACTTAAATAAACAGGTTTGATAAAAATCATCAATAAAGAAGAACATTTCAAATGGCATTTAGAGGCTTTTGCATCTGAACTCTTCATATATATACGTTCTTGAGAAAACTGTGATGTCATCGTCCAGCCAATGGCGAAAAATGCGGGAAAAAAGGTTAAAAGGCGACAGTGGCAAGGAATCAAAACTCCATCAGGTGACAGAATGAAGGAGGGGAAGAGTTTGTTATTAGTTTAAAATCTTAAGAAATCTTCAGAGAATCAGAATAGCGATTTTCTACATCTATAATATGGCAATGCATGACAAATAACAAACTAACGTGAAGTTTATTACACATTGTTATTAATTAAATGGTATATTAGTATATTCTACGTATGAGTATTTAAATGATTACTAATACTGAGCAAAGAGCAATAGAGCAAATGTGGTTAACATTAACAGAGAGTGACCCTTAATCATAGGAACAGTGTTAATTAACCCCCATTATATGGAATGTTCCAAGATCCAGATATAAAACGAAAGCAAAAGGGGATAGAGCTTGCCCCCAACTTTTTTTAGAGACTTAGGGGGGGTTGGGGGAATGACCACACAAATTGCATCCCTGTGACCTACAGTATGACTATATCAAGGTTAGAATTTGTGGATTGGTATTGTTACGAATTTGCTCAGAGACTGTTGAGATCCAAATGCAGCTTTAATTTAAGGGGTAATCCAAACACGTAATCCAAAGAACAGGCAAAAGGTCAAAACACAGTAAGCAGTCCAAACAAACTAAACAAAGAAACAAACAAAACAGGCAGGGACCAGAGGCAAGAGAGTAATCCAGGGAACAGGGCAAGATATCCAAAAACCAAGAGACAAGAAAACCGAAAGAATGATCAGAATTGCAGTGTAACACTTAAACAAGATTTCGCAAACAGTGAATGTGAACACAAGGAATATAAAGACAGACTAACAGGATGAGACACAGGTGAATGCAATCAGTGAATGAGGTACAGGTGAATGTGATCAGTGATGATGAGTACGGGCAGTGAGTTCTGGGAACTGTAGTTTGTGAGTGATAACAGTCTTATCTGGAGTGCCCTCTGTTTGCTCAAAAGGGCACTCCAGCTGTGACTGTTACAGGTATCATTCAATATATTTAAAATCTTTAAAAAAAAGAATCTTAACTGTTGCTTAAAAGTGTTCGTTATATGTTCATTTAATTCATTTTTATTACTAATTATTATTACTAATGCATACAGAAGAAAAAAGCTCAGACTAACAAAATAAATAAAGGCGCATGAATAGACACATGTGAGTAATGTTTTATTGTTGCTTTAGTATTCATAGGACAGAGTTGAAGAGTAGAGATGAAGCAATGTCTTTAGTACAAGGTATTAATCCTACAATATGGATTAAACTCATCTATTGAAGTAATTTAACTATTGGATTGCCAAATAACACTCAATTTGATCAGGTGACATAAATCGAAACTCAATGTTAAATGTGGGCTATTTTATTACTATTAATATGTCGTTTTTAGATTATTTTGTCATTTTACATTTGTGGACATTCCTATTACATATTATATTACCTACTGAAATAGTGTCACAAACTGCTTTTTTTCGTCATTTAGAGTAATTTATCCCGTCGGTAAAATAGCAACATCGCCCAAGACCCGCCCACAAAGTTACTTGCGCTTCACGCTTGATACTGCGTTTCAGATCGTTAAAGAGTAACTAAACACTAAAGGCCCATAGTCTAAGTTTATGTAACCGAATCCTATAGCCTTAACTTCTATTCATACTTTAATCTGTTACAATAATAACTAATGAACTGAGGTTTTTTCTCAGCCTTTCATTCACAATTACACAGTTACACAAAGTACACACTTAGTATTATTGTATTAGGTCATAGCTTTTTTCAATGATATCCATCTGGATGGTAAAATTATATCAGGCTTACCTAACTTAAGTGAGAAAACACCATCATCTACCAAAAGGCATGTCATTCTTCATATAGCCCTGCGTTAGCTAATTTCTCCACTGTGGTGCATGTGATAGAACTTGTAAACACTGTGATAGATTAATCTCAGAACAATATTTATGGGAAGCTGCTTCTCTATTGAAGTTTAGAGCTTCTTTCCATTACCACAATTACACAGGTAGTCACTAGGGGGCATAAAATCACCATGGAAAGACACAAGGCAATCAAACAAAAAACTGTCTATTGCCATGAAAAGAACAAATGTATGGCTATAAACCACATTCAATTACACAAAACGCTCTTCGAATGAGACTGAAGAATCTCCTTTAGGAAAGTGTTTTTTCCTCTCTGCTCTTTGTGTCATTAGTTAAAGAAATGTTTACCAAATGTACGTTTAAAATGGCTTAAAAATGTTTACCAAAGGGTACTTTGTTTCTTATTTTTGGTCACACAGAATGTGTTTCAACATATTTTGGTGAACATTTATTATGAAATATTATAGTTCAAATATTTATCAGAATATTCATTTTATATTTTTATTAAGATGTTTAACTGTACTTATTCTCACAAAGAAGATATGCAAAGAGCAGTGATTTAAAAACCTAAAGGGAGCGAAAAAAATCGAAATTCTGAAGCTATATATATTTGTCCCCGAGAGGAAATTAGTTTTCACTGTAGATGCGTATATAACACAAATATGTTAAGTTATTAACTTATCACAATAAAACAAAAAATATTCACAACACAACAAATATAGCATAAGTAACGTATATCAATGGCCGGTTTCTATGTATTTGGAGTTCGTATAGATACAGGAACAAAACTCTTCATATCTTGCCTTTCTACACATCGGTAACCTATACCTACGGCCAGAGGGCAAGGGGATAAAATATTTATAGAGGGGGTGGTCTGGGAAGGCCTTTATTAATGGCCGTGTGGAGTTCTTTTGATGCACTTTTTTGAGCTTCAAACTAATGGCTGCAATCCACTGCCATTATAAAGCTCAGAAGCAGGGTGTTTATTAATATAACTCTGATTGTATTCGTCTGAAAGAAGAATGTCGTATACTCCTATGGCTTGATTAATCATGGGAAACTTTTCATTTTAAAGTGAACTACTCCTTTAACAAAAATATCCTACCCTTTAACAATAACTTAAAGAGCTAATGCTTCCTTTTTCTCTTGGTTAAAAAATTGATTTCTCTTAAAATTTTTAAAGTGTTTGGTTACACTTTATTTCGATAGTTACTTTAGTCGTTCTACTAATTATAAGTAACTTTTCAACTATGTGTCAACTAACTCTCATTAGTATATTATAGTAGACTGTTAGGTAGGCTTTGGGTTAGGAGAATAAGTTTACTTGTAGTCGCCAAGTTAGTTGGAGACCCAAGCCGAGCTGAGGAGACAGAGCATATAGGCTATATATATATACATATATACATGTACATATTTATATATTCATTTGTATTAAGTTAGTTATATCTGTCTATAATGCACACATAAGCAAAACAAATCCTGCAAAGAAGCATCCAAGAATTTCATTATGTTTGTTGTTCTGTACATGAGACAATAATGCTTTGAGGAGTCTCTTCTAGCATCTAAATAAGCTTTAGTATTTACCAGTTCACAGCGTTTATGTACCCATCCTCCTCCTCATCTGAAGGATTGTTTCATCTCCCGGCAGTCTATCTAATGCATTTCGTTTAGTGATTATAATCTTAACTTTTGCCATCGTATTGCATTGTAAGTTATATTGAAAATATAAAGATGAAACCCTGATTATTTTATTTAGTTTGAAACGTTCACTAGTTCACTAATCACTAGCCAGCTTTATTTAGTGAGATTCTCCTGTTACAAGTGAACTTAAAATTTCACAATAAAATTTATGGCCAGAATATTATATGAAGACATTAGTTCTCATCTCACTGACAGTTATCTGTCTTAACTGACATACAAATCTTCAGCAGAACTAAGTGTTAAGCTCTATGTGTGATTGCTTTTCCTGCTGTGATCCATTATTCCACTCTGTACTCCACTATATTCCCTGATCCTCACCGCTGCTGAGACTTTCCCCGGCAAGTGTACAGATTATGTAATGAATGAATAAATTATCTTTATTTGACAGTACAAATTATGCAGATGAATTAGACAATATTTTGCCATTGACATGACTTCCTAATCAACCTGAATTCACCCTACAAATATTATTTAATCTACTTATTAATTTATTGATTCGTTCCTGAGGCCGAGGGTCAGTAGTTAAATTTGTTTTAAAATAAACGATTAACATAGCGACTTAATGTAAGATATTTCCTCATAAATAGGCCTAGTTCAACAAATTAAAACTGCTCATTCACACAGCCACTTTTTCCACCTTCGATGTGAGGTGTGATGTATTTATTTATTTATTTATTTATTTGTATGTTATGCTTATTATGTGAATATGTCTTTGAACGAGGTTTGTGTTACGGTGTGTTTGGGAAATAAATCGGGTCGCGCGCGCAGATCTGTGGGGTGTCTCGGGCGCGCGTGCACGGCAGCATCATCACGCGCAGCATCTTTCGCCCACAGACATCTCTGCGTTTCACTTAATTTTGACTTCTCAGACAAAAAGAGCGTCTACTACGGCGTCATATCTTTATATTCTGCTCGTCTGGATAACCGTGAGGACATTTGCGCCGCGGGATTGAAGTGTTTTCATGGAAAATGGCGAGATGGGCTCACGCGTGTCTGCTGCTGATTATGGTGATTTTCAGCGGATCGTGGACCGCAGTGGACGCGCTCACATTCCCACAGCATTTCACGTAAGAAACATTAACAATTCCACAGCTTTACATGAAATAATAACTCATTCCTACACTAATACACGCAAGACACGCTCATTTCCAAACCATTACACGTAACAAACCCTCATTTCCACAGCATTGCACGTAAGAATGTTAATTTCCACAACGTTACTGGTAAGAACAGCTCATTTCCACAAGCTCATATAAGACATAGCCTTGCTACTCTTTTCCCACAGCAAACACATAGGATAAGCAACGTTTCATTTAAAATACTGATTTCCATAACATTGAAAGGCTAATTTCCACAGTCAGCCTACATAAGAAATACTAATTTCCACAACATTAGCCTACAGCAAATGCACATTTTCTCAACGTTACACTTTAAAATGTTAATAATGTATGGTGACATTAACTTTATGTTCATAGTTTAGGGTAAATGCGAGTTTTAATAACCCCTAGAAGTGAACTAAATATCACAAACACCTAACGTTACTTCTGGTGACTATTCTCATCCTAAAATAATTTCTTGTATGGTTTGTTTGAATCCATTCTAATTTTTCTTTATATATATATATATATATATATATATATATATATATATAACATAACAATCTATTATCTCGTTTAGATAGATGCATGCGTATGTGTCTTCTGGCAGACAGACAGCAGATTTGAGATTTATAAACTGGTTCTATCTATCTATCTATCTATCTATCTATCTATCTATCTATCTATCTATCTATCTATCTATCTATCTATCTATCTATCTATCTATCTATCTATCTATCTATCTATCTATCTACTCAAAGTTTGTCTTCTGAGGTTTTCTTTCTCTGTAATGTGAATATGGGTCACAACAGCCCCTCATTTCCCTGTTCCTCTGTCCGTGTCTCTAGGGAGTGTGTGTCAGGTAATAGGCAGCGGGGAAGATCTAAGATGTGTTTGTGTGTGTGTGTGTGTGTGTGTGTGTGTGTTTCTGGGCCTGCTCAGATCAGCGGCTGAGAGTGCATCAGATCGCCTGAATCACTGACACACACCCTGATACACTCTCACCTTTACGTAACACATGATGCTAAACGTGCAGTGAACCAGCACGTGTGTGTGTGTTTACAGCATCTTTGATTGAAAGTGCAGGCTGAGTTCCTCTAGATAGAATAATTAAATCTCATCTATGATAGCAAGGCATATTCATTTTCCAAGAAACTTCACTTTAGCAAAGAATCTATCCCTTTTTCAGTAAAGTCAACATTTCATCAGAAAAAAAAGGTACGAAAGCTGTCACTGGGGCTGTACCTTTTCAAAAGTTAAACTTTTGTCCATTTTAGGTGCTATTATGTACATTTTACGTGCTAATATGTACATTTTAAGCGTTAATATGTTCATTTTAGGTGCTAATATCTACATTTAGGTGCTATTATGTACATTTTAGGTGCTATTATGTACATTTTAAGCGTTAATATGTACATTTTAAGCGTTAATATGTACATTTTAGGTGCTAATGTTGAAAACTGAATTAAATTGAATTGAATTGAATTGATTGAATTGAATTGAATTGAATTGATTGAATTGAACATGTACCCTTAAGGTACCAATATGCACCCTTTAGGTACAAAAGTTTACCTTTTGAAAAGGTACAGCCCCAGTGACAGCTTTTGTACCTTTTTCTGAGAGTGTATAACCTATAAGAATGCACTAGTGTGCCAATAATTATGCAAATAATTTTGTGATCATTTATGATGTTTAATAACCCTCATACCCAAACAAAGATGCCCCTCACATTTCTATCAGGCATGCAAAAATCTAGGCCTAGTTAGTGTTAATATGGCCAATAAGTAAAGCTGTCCGATATTATAAATACTATTTTAAGTGTTTACAGAAAAGGGTTTTACCAAAAGTAAACCTTGACATTATGCTTCTGACACCAATAATAAACAATTCTTCACATATTTACTGACCTAATGTGCACCCCAAACTGCTCTTATGATCTCAATTAACACTGATTATTAAATGCTGAATCCTCAGAGATTTCTCTAAGCGTTCGCTCATTGTGATCTCCTCGTGTTTATTGACGGCTCCAGCTATGGATGCTAAACAACCTGAACTTACGTAATATAACATAACTGCAGTTGGGCTGTAATCACTTGCAGATCTGTTCTGTTGTCGTGGAAACAGGTGATATTTATGATCAGGCTGCAGGGTTATGATTTAGCCGTACATGCTGTTCTGTAACAGGGCGGTTTAATGAAGCTGAACGAGACCTCGCAGATGTTCAATAATTCATCTGCATCTGTACATCAGGGCAGTTTCGTTGAGCTGACTGTGTGTTTGTGGACAGTATAAACATCACAGTCTGTACATTGATCATATTGATCGGTTTAGCCGACCGTGAGGATATTATATCATATTCTGTCACTGATACTGTGTGTAGTACGAATGAGGACAGTTCTGATGAGGTCACTGAAAATGTATTGTTTAACTTAGTGATTTTAGCATCCATTGTTTACACAAAAGATGTGAAATTATACTGTAAAAACTGTTAATTCAAGAATTGGAGAGAAAGACAACATGTTAATGTTTTCAGATGATCATCATCATAACATTGTTAATGCACCATATGTACTGCAGGGCTGCGATTCATGAGCTTCCCAGATAGCACAAGTCTATTTGATGTGATATTTATATCTGGAAGACGTATTTTTAAGAGTGTTTGCTCATCTGCAAGACGTCTAAAGGACGTTTCCTGTCAGATGTCAAATAGACGTTTAGAAGATGTCTTTAAGATGTAATGATTTAGAATGCATGTTAAACTGACATCTTCTAAACGTCTATTTGATATCTGACCGGAAACGTCCTACACTCTCAGAAAAAAAGGTACAAAAGCTGTCACTGGGGCTGTACCTTTTCAAAAGGTAATTTCACCTTTTCAGGAGCTAATATGTACATTTTATGTACAAATACGTATATTTTAGGTGCTAATATGTACATTTTAGGTGTTAATATGTACATTTTAGGTGTTAATATGTACATTTCAGGTGTTAATATGTACATTGTAAGTGTTAATTTGTACATTTTAGGTGTTAATATGTACATTTTCAGTGTTAATTTGTACATTTTTGGTGCTAATATGTACATTTCAGGTGCTAATATGAACAATTTAGGTTCTAATATGTACCAATATGCAGCCTTTGGGTACAAAAGTGTACCTTTTGAAAAGGTACAGCCCCAGTGACAGCTTTTGTACCTTTTTTTCTGAGAGTGTATAGACGTCTTGCAGATGAGCAAACACTCTAAAAAATACGTCTTCCAGATGTAAATATCACATCAAATAGCCTTGTGCTAGCGAAATTTCGATTCGATTCTGATCTTGTTTCAATATTGATTCATTTGGTTAAATTTCAAGTACAGAAGGGCCTAAAGAAACAAATCTCTCTCAACTAATACAAGGAAACCTGTCAGCCGCTCTTATTAAAGAATTAAAATGATCAACTCATTCTTATAAAGTCAAAAGTGTTGTTTATAATAATGTTAGAATATTTTTAATGAAATAATAAGAGTAAAAATACGCACTGTAAAGAAATATTGTTGGTTTAACTTAAAAAAAAGAAGTAACCTGGTTGCCTTAAAATTTTAAGTTCATTGAAATGGAAAAATTGAGTTAATACAATGAAGGAGATTCATTTAATCACCAGAAACTCAAAATATTATGCTATCTGAACTACATAAATTATCTAAGTTGATTTGAAAGAAAAAATGTTGTGATTACAAATCATGAAAATATTTTTTTTACTGGTAATAAAAGCTAGTATATATTTAGTCAGTCATTTTCTCTACACTATAAACTGAGACACAAGATGGCACCAATTGTGCTCCCGCTCAAAATAGAGGTCTGGGCTGCGATTGTCAATACATTTATTTGGTTTTTCAAGATTTTTTGCCTTAGTGATTTACTTGAAATATCTTTTCGCTCCCAATTTCGCTCCCTGAGCGACATTGACAAGTCCATTTCTTTCAATTTTCGGTAAAAATATAACATAAAAACATCATGATATATTTCAGCTACAGTGATATAAATCTCTGAAGCCTGTCATGAAACCTAGCAAACCTCTTTTCCCCCCCGTTGAGTAATGATTGTGTTGTGTGTGTTGTGTAGGATCATGCACTGGGCTCGTCGCATTGAACAGGAGATTGACAGAGTCTTGCAGCACATCAGCGGCGCTCAACAACTGAAGGGGGTAAGAATGTGTGTGTGTGTGTGTGTGTGTGGCTTTTCCAGTATCTCTGTCAAGCATGTGCTCATTACTGTGAGTCTGGCCCTCATATCAAACACCCACAAACAATGAGAAACTGAGACACTCCTGCAAAATCCATGCTGGAGAATATAATGATCCTGCCATTCCCGAACTGAGAGGCTGCAGCGTGTGTGTGTGTGTGTGTGTGTGTGTGCTCACATCACTGAGAGAACAGATGGTTCGCCTCTCTGATGCTAAAGTCATTCATTTACCCAGAATGCCACAGCGCTGTAGACTGAACGCTTCACTGCTGATCATCAATACAGGCAAATGACAGCTCCTATATAGTTGTATTTTTGTCCGGTCATCATCATCATCATAGTATTAATTTTTGAGATAAACATGTTTCTAATGATGGCGAATTATCTTCTGAAAAACCTCCAGAGCTGAGATTTAAAAATAAAGCCGAAATACACTCAAAGTAATACTAATCGCCATGTCTTTTGATCAATCCTGACCCAGAGCTAATGCTCTTGACCCTAACACTTGACCTCTGACCTCGACTTTCATCAGTCTGTGTGAGATGAGTGTTTGATTGTCTCTCCGTCTCACTATTCTGTCAGAGTTTGCGTTTATGCTTTTCTCAGAAATATTTATTTTTTAGCATCTTGCATTTTTAATATTTTTAACATTTTCAGCATGAAATATCACTCATAATTCATTACATTTTTATGATGTGTGAATTAGTGATGCACCGATGTGAAAATTTGTGGCCGATACCGATAACCGATATTAACATTGCTGTTATGGCCGATACCGATATTTACCGATGTCGATATCCCTGTGTAGAAAACACATAGCGAGGATTAGGGCTGCACGATATTGGTAAAAAATGACATTGTGATATTTTATTTTTCTGCGATATATATTGTGATATAAAAACAATTTCACCAGATTACTTGAATAGCTCTATTTGGATAGAATTAATCATTCTAGAATGACTGGGGTAGTTTTGTCATGGAGTATGTAAATCCGCATAGAAACTAATATTAATAGAATGTTAACAACATTTGTTAACATTCTATTAATCTATTAACCTTACACTTTACAATAAGGTTCCATTTATTAAAGTGTACATTTATTGTACACTTTAATAAATGGAACCTTATTGTAAAGTGCTTCCGATTTATGTCTCTTGAGCTCAGTGTTGGACAGATCAGTTGTTTTAACCATTCATTAAAGTGAATCGGTTCAAAGGAGTCATCAGTTCGCGAATCGGACGTGTCATTAACGGAACCACGGCACACGTTGTGTGATTATCCAGGCAGTTTAGAACATCGCACGAGATTTGTCTCGACCTATTTTACAGTCTATGGTCTCGACAGTCCACACAGAAAACATTTCATCACCAGATAGATTTTTTTTGGTTTATTGAAAGTGTGGTTTCACAATTCACAACCAGTAGTTCAGAAGAAAAAAAAACTTTTACCATCGTGTATTCTCTCAAAGATATTCAGTCAACTCAATTCATAAACATGAGGGAGGGAGAGAGAGAGAGAGAGAGAGAGACAGACAGAGAGAGACAGACATTTTGAAGACGACGCGCGTGACCGGTGCTTTCACTCTCCCTTGTTCCCTCAGTTAAACAAGCGCAGCAGTCACTCATCTACATCACTTACCGGTCAAATATGGCTTTGGCGGGACAAAAATACGATTTAGGAAGGCTGGCAGAAAACAGCTCAGAGCTCACCAGTTCCAGTCTTCGTGCGCTTGATGTTTAAATGCACTTGCGCTTTTAATACGCTTGTGCAAAAACAAACATCCCCGCCCCCACACTCACACCTACACGCACGTCAAATACACAGGGATGATCATCGGCCTGTTCACATCGGCCCTATTTTGACATCGGAACGATACCGATGTGTAAAAAATTGACCAAATCGGCCGATGTTATATCGGCGGCCGATATATCGTGCACCACTAGTGTGAATGCATTTCAGAGTAATCAGGACTAACATCATAATTACTGAAAGTACCTATCATAAAACTGAAAGTAAAATAAAATGCATACTTTTTTTAGACTATAAAACTAAATAAAGTACAAATTAAGGATAAGTTTATTTTTTGATCAGCTAAGTCGGCATGAAACTGAAGTTGCAATCATTTTTTCTTCCGTATTCTGACATAACTGCTTATCGAAGCGGTTGTGGTTTACTATTGGTCGATCTCATGTGAGTGACAGGTTGTCCCGCCCTCAAGCTAGTAGAGGGCGGGACTAGTAGTCTAGTTCTTGACCAAAATGCATATTTGAGTTGTTTTAACTAAAAGCAATTTGCTCTGACATATCTTAAAATATATCAGTGCCATTGTTTTGTCTCAAGATGGACGTCAGAAATGTTTAAAAATCGATAAAAAAATCGAATCACTATTTATTAAACCAGGACTAACATTGTAACGTTGCAAAAACTAACCTGAAACTGGAAAACATTTACAGTAATTACTGTAAATAAAACTAACCTAGAAAACGATAAATGAATGAAAAGGACATTTAAAAAATTTAGTTTTATTATTGCTAATTGCATTTGGCTTTAATTTGTGCTATTATCATGTTTGCATATTTTAAAACCAGGAGCTAAAAAAACGTAAGCAGATAAACATCTCATTTTATTTAGCAGGACTACATTGAATTTTGTGTTATGTTAGGCTACGATATTGATTTATTTTAATTTCTTCTTTGGAATAACAAGTTCATGGGTTTCATCCTGACTCACTGTCTTGTTTTAAATGCAGCGTCTGAAAGTTCAAGTTGTCAGTGTGTAAGTGAGCGTGTGCTTGATGTTCTTGTATTGATCTGAGCTCTAAACAGCTCTTGTTCTGGACTCAGAGGTTATTTACTGGCTTAATGAGGCTCGTCGTCTTCAGTCACGCCGCTGGATTACAGCAGCTGTTGTCTCGCATCTCATGGTGGAGCGCAAACACTCATTTACACGTGGAGAACTCACTGTAAAATGAGTTTATTTTTAGTGCGTCACATCTGAAAGGAAGTTACATGGGTTTTCCAGTGATGAGCGTTAATAATTTAAAACACACACACACATGCAGCTCGCTTGCTGTTTCCTCCAGCTGATGAATATCCTCTTGATGGTGGATGTATACTGTATGTATATATATGTGTGTGTGTATATATATATATATATATAGTTCAGTCTTGAAACTCTGTAGGGCGCGGGCTCAGTGCCACTTCTGAGGGCCCTAAGCAAATCTTTATGAAGGTTTCAAGATGCCTCGAAATGACCTCCACCCCCATCTGTTTTTCATAGCAGTTTCACTGTTAACAAACAACATGCAGTGATTTGAATTTCAATAAACATTAGTACACTTTAGAGAAAATAAGTATATAAATATATGAAGTAAAACACAATAAATTGCCAGTAAGAACAAGTAAAATCAACCTGTCAACCAAATGTTCATTGACAGATAAATGCTTTATGTAAGTAATGATCTGGCACCATGTAGCTATCAGAAAAACTAGCCTATAACACACTGCTGAAATGATTTTCCAAATGTGGGATTTACTAATGAAAATAAAGCATGATAAATATAGTTTAAGTAAACACGACTCTGCTAAAGCTGAATACGCATTTATTTCGGACTTTGTATCTCGCAATTCTGACTTTCTAACTCGCAATTGCGACTTTATATCTCACAATTATGACTATATCTCGCAATTCTGATTTTATATCTCTCAATTATGACTTTATCTCACAATTCTGACTATATATATATCGCAATTGTGACTTTATATCTCGCAATTCTGACTTTATATCTCGCAATTATGACTTTATATCTCGCAATTCTGATATTATATCTCTCAATTATGACTTTATCTCTCAATTCTGACTATATATATCTCGCAATTGTGACTTTATATCTCGCAATTATGACTATATCTCTCAATTATGACTTTATCTCGCAATTCTGACTTTATATCTCGCAATTCTGACTATATCTCGCAATTCTGACTTTATATCTCGCAATTCTGACTTTATATCACGCATTTCTGACTTTATATCTCGCAATTCTGACTTTATATCTCGCAATTCTGACTATATCACGCATTTCTGACTTTATATCTCGCAATTCTGACTTTCCATCTCGCAATTCTAAGAAATAATGTCAGAATTGCGAGAAGTAAACTCGCAATTGTGAGAAAAAAAAGTCAGAATTGTGAGATAAAAAGTCGCAATTACCTTTTATATTTTTCATTCTGTGGTGGAAACAAGCTTCCATACATTAACAATAACACATATATATATATGGATGTTAATTTTGTTTCAGATCTACAGCGAGAAGAGGAGACAGTTCAGTCTGGTCAGAAATAACCCTCGAGACATCGTAGAAAAAGTGGCGACTGACATTGAGAGACTGCTGGCCAAGAAACGCAAAGCGCTTGAGGTAAGAAAACATCCACACAATCACACACACACAGACACACACTTCCTTCAGGATTACTCTTGACGGTTGTCGTCTGTGTTTTGGGTCAGAAACTGGCGAGTGAAGCGGAGCGTCTTCAGAAAGATCATCACTGGCAAGATGGAATCAAGGTCAGATGGGTTTAACGGCGCCAATAGTTTTTACGCTCACTTTTGTGCATTCCACAATAATTTTGCAAGCTTTTTCCAGACTCTTCATGCACTTCAACATTTCACTTTTAAAATTGCTTTTGCATGTATGATCCAAGTCGATTCAGACTAATTATTCCTATGTTGCCTCAACTGATTCATTCAAATGAACCGCACGAATAGAGCGGATTCATTCCCTCTTTTTTACATTTCTTTCATCTGTGTACCTTGATGCACTTCACATCCGTATATCTCTGGTCCAGATACGAGCTTTACACACACACTCGCTGTGAGTCATGATTTCTGTGAGTCTGTAGCTGGAGGGTCTGTTTAAGCCCAATAGATTGTGACGTCTCGTTTTTCTGACTGATTTGATTCATTAGAGATGTTCAGCTCCACTGACTGAATTGTGAATTGTGCTTAAATGAGCGTTTGTCATGCGGAGGACATCTGTATTGGATCCTTCAAATACTCAAGCCGATTTTAAACAGCAGATTTTTGTATTTTTGTTCTGTGTGTTTATTTCAGGAGGAAAATATTGAATATTATAACTCTAAAGCAGAGATGGACTATGTAAGTACTGAGTACATCGTTGTCTATCGCCGATGTGAAAAACATGTAATATGTAGATTTACATGCTTAAGAAAGTGCCTGTATGAATATCTATTTAAGAAAAAATAATGTAATGTTAACGAAAATGACGCTTTCTTGGCATGTATGTAGGAAATACTCATGCATTCATACACAATTTCTTTTTAGAAGCTAGTTGCTCAAACTTCTAACTTCAAATCTACTATTTTGCATATTCATTTTATCACCATATGACTATGATTTTGACAATCAAACTCAAGCTGAAACAGTGGCCTCATATCTGTAATATGTGTGTGAATGTTTCTGACTATATTGTTTATTCTCATCAGGATGGTGAAGACATCGATTCTCAGATGTCGCTGAAACTGGAGTTCGTGTACGACCCGATCTTTAAGAACCATGTGAATTTCTCACACACCGCCGTCCAGATCCCCACAGACATCTACAAAGGCGGTGAGATCTCTAAGAGCCAATAGCTATGTTTCTGCTGGCATTGTTTTTATATTATGTATACTACATTATGTATTTTAAGTGTTGCGTTTTATACTTTCTTTGTTATTATACATCTATTAGAGCTCGACCGATAAAGGATTTTGAAGGCCGATACGGATACAAATATTTTGCGGTTTTAAAATCCCATATTACGATATATCGGCCGATATTTTATATATCTATTTATTTATTTATTTAAACTGGATATGATAGTCACAAATGCTTTATGCTTATTTGAGTTAAGAGAACTGATGGGGATGTTCTTTTAATTGTTATTCAAGCAATGTATGTATCGTGACCAACTCAACGAGTGTTGCCAACAGGAACGATGTAGAGTGCCCTCTGGTGGACAAACTGTACAACTCCAACTCTCATGACATGGTTCAAGCGTTTTTCGTCCGTTTTTATTTTATTTTTGAAATATTAATTTATCGGCCATTATAACTGCCGATACCGATAGTTTGGAAAATGTCTAATATCGGCCGATAATATCGGTCTGCCGATATATCGGTCTGGCTCTAACATCTATCATATACATATTTAAGTCATTTAAAGGCTGTTGTTCACTTGGGTATGTTTTATTACAACAAAAACATTTTGTTTAATCAGTTTACTCCAATAATCACCAGAATAAACGTTTGGTTCCTCGATTGCCAAAATAATTGTTAGTGACTGACCGTCCTAGTTGTAATGTGTGTGTCTGTCTGTCTGTAGCTCCAGTGATTCTGAACGAGTTGAACTGGACACAAGCTTTAGAGCGAGTCTTCATGGAGAACAGCAGAGACGACCCGTCGTTACTCTGGCAAGCGTTTGGGAGCGCCACGGGGGTCACGAGATATTACCCAGGTAACATGTTTATCTGTGCATGCTTATTTCTGTGTCTGACTGGAGGTTTCAGTATGTTTTGCATAAATATATTATTACCCAAAAAAATTATTTTTTATAACATTTCACATTTTAGCCGCTCCCTGGAGAGCACCGGATAAGATCGACCTTTACGATGTACGACGGAGACCCTGGTAAACACTTTCTGTATCTTTAGTATATGCAGGAATCAGTTCCCTTGTGAAAAAAAAGTGTGGTTAATTGTATTAAATGTACTTCAAATCTTAAAAGCATATTTAAATAACTGTATTTGCAAATAATATAATATTGATGAAATAAAAGGCCACTTAAATGTGCTTTTAGAGAGTACACTTTTATGACACTTAAATAGACTTTCACAAAGTGCACTTTGTGATAATGTCAAACAAGTTTTACATTAAATATATTTTATATGAATATTCTTTTGTCATGTATGAAGTACACGGATTTGTTGACTAACAAATTAAAGCACATGTAAAGTATTTGATTGTAATTTAACTGTAGTTATTTTTATTGTATAAAGTTCATATATATACATGTACTAAATTGTAAATTAATTCTAAATATAAGTATAATTATATAATAATATCATTCAATTTAGCAAGGCAATTTATGAATATATAAATGAATACTACTATATACATTTCTTTCATTTAATCACAATTAGTACGCTGTTGAGTGTCTGAAAACATTCAGTTTGCAATTAAAGTATATTATTTATGTAATAAGCATTGACCCTTCACTAAGCTCCTCCCCCTTGGTTGTCAAACCAGACTTTTCTTATAAAACTTTGTCATATAGTTGAAGTGATGTTTTTGTCCTCATAAAATAGTAAATGTTGTATATATTATTCACATCTGCAGCTTTCTTCAAAGAAATATTGAATTATGCATTCAAATTGGTGGAATATTCATTTGGAGACATGAAATCATATGTCAAACTGTCAAATAAAACTAAATCAGATTTGTTTTTAAATCCATAATCATCTAGACATCTATAGAAACAGTTGGCTGGCTTTGATTGGCCATTTGTGTGGGCGTGGCCTATGGCATGTTGATACTCAAACTTGTGTCACTGTTTTCCTCAGGTACATTCAAGGAGCGTCATCGCCGAAAGACATGGTCATCCTTGTAGACGTGTGAGTAGGCGTGCTTTTCTGCTGTGCGTTTGAGTTGTTTATTCAATATTGACGTCTTTCCCGTCCACAGGAGCGGCAGCGTCAGTGGACTCACTCTCAAACTGATCAAAGCTTCAGTCACAGAGATGCTGGACACGCTCTCCGACGACGATTATGTCAATGTGGCTAGGGTCAGTGCACTATTTCGAACATGATGTTTTTTGGATTGTGAAAGTAGCTTCTGGTCTCCCAGACTGCTTTTAGAAGTGGTTTTGGACACTTTTGATGTGGGAAACCACCTAAAACAAGCTGAACACCAGCTTGGGCAACCTAGGAGATCAGCTTAAACCAGCTTTTTCCAGCTCAGACCAGCCAACCAGACCAGGCTGTTTTTTTTAGCTATGCACTGACACTTTTGTTAATTGCCTGATAAAATATTCTTGAAATTTTTGCTGATATAATATAATACAAAAGCTGTTATGAAAAAGCTACTAAGTTAGTTATGTGTTAAATATTCACTGTTTATTCATTATATATATATATATATATATACTGTAATTCATGTACCTGTAGATTTACTTGAGCTGTGTTTCCTCTCTCGTTCTGTGGCAGTTCAATGAGAAGGCCGAGGCAGTGGTGCCCTGCTTTAGACACCTGGTTCAGGCCAATGTACGCAACAAAAAGATCTTCAAAGAGGCCGTGCAGCAGATGCAGGCCAAGGGAACCACCGATTACAAATCCGGCTTTCACTTCGCCTTCAACCAGCTGCTCAACGTGAGTCTGAACGCAATTTACACGAGAAGTTCATCGGCAGCATTTGTGGCGGAATTTATGGCTTATATAAATACACTGTTTCAATAGTACAGCTAAAAGACGTGAACAAATGAGTGTTAACATAAAACAGAAAACTCACTTATATCCATTTCACAACTTCATTGCTATAATGCGATGCCATAAACCCTAATATAACAAAAAAATAATGATTTACTCTCATATTGGCTTTAAAATCTGACTTCCTGGGTCAGTTTTGGAATTTAAGTTTGTAAAAAATCACTCCACAAATTCTGCAGATTGAGCTGAACTAGAACAGGACAACAGAGTATTTATTTAAAGGGATAGTTCATTTTGAAATTAATTTTTGGTACGTTTTAGCTCACCTCAAGGGCATCCAAGATGTAGGTGTCTTTGTTTCCACAATAGTTTCAATTTTGATATTTTTAGGTCAAACCGCTCGTTTTTCGTGTCTTAGGCCATCAATGTGTACTTACATTTATGAGTCATTAAATCATGTTTAATTTGGACTTCTCTGGGCATGCTCTTTGTGGTGGTGACCATAGACCTCCATTATATGACTGATAGACCAACGGTTTGACCTAAAAATATAAAAATTGAGACTACTGTGGAAACAAAGACACCTACATCTTGGATGCCCTTGAGGTAAGATAAAACATACCAAAAATTAATTTCAAAGTTAACTATCACTTTAACACACAGCTGCGTTTGGTGAATTTTGGACCAATGAGATTTCACCGTGGGCGGAGCTACCCAGCTCGACGCAATAGAAGAAACCAAACTTGTGATGATTTGTTGCTTGCTCTCACAGTGTTATAATCTATCTCTCCGTTTCTCGTTCTCACACAGAAAACGAATGTCCCTCGAGCCAACTGTAATAAAATCATCATGTTATTTACTGACGGAGGCGAGGACCGAGCTCAGGACATCTTCGAGCAGTACAACTGGCCCAATAAGACGGTCTGATCATCACTTTCCTGACATGATCTGATTTATATCTTCATTGTGTGTTGAGCGTCTTGTGTTTCTGCACTGCTGTTGTCTTCTGGAAGTGTGTGTTCCTCATAATTAGCCCTTTCCTCCAGTGAAACAGCTTGTTTCCTGTCTAATTTGCCGGGGTAATTGTGGGATATGTCATGGCATCTGCAGGTCCGTGTGTTCACGTTCTCGGTGGGGCAGCACAATTATGATGTCACTCCGCTGCAGTGGATCGCATGTGCTAATAAGGGTGAGACACGCGAGATTTTTCCTTGTAAAATTGCGACTTCTTCCTGAAAAAACAAAAGTCTGCCCTTACTATGATAATTTAAGTAGATTTATATGCTGATGCGTGTTGAAATATACAGAAATGACATGTGACGTCTCACTTAGTGCCTCTCTGTCTCGGCAGGGTACTATTTTGAGATCCGCTCCATCTGTGCTATAAGGATTAACACCCAGGTGAGTTACACACACATTAATGTGTACAAGGTTTTTCCTCTTATGGCCGGCAATATCAAATTAAGCAACATTGTAAATGATGTTATGATTTTAATGCGCCTTGGTTTATTTAGTTGAGGTTACTAAATGAACACAATTATTCATTCCGTTGAAACTCGCAAATATGAGATATTTTAATTGTGTAATTGAAAACTGATTAACAATTTAGTTGCAAAATAGAGTTGGTAAATCTGATTAGTTTCTGTGTTCATTTTTAACTAATTTTTTACAAATCAATTCTGCCCACAATCTCACAGCCCACATGTACAGTATGTTATAAACAAAACACTTTGTATGATTCACACTGATTCGCACTTTAGTTGGTAAATTTGATTCGTTTAATCGACTTGTTTATATGACGTGCTTCACTCAAAAATGTTTGTTGTCTCTCGAGTATATGGGAAACAAATCTCTTTAATGGTATGATGCAAACTGATTCATAATTCAGTCAATGAGTTGATTTATACATTTGATTCGTTTCAGTGAAAAGTGTTTTTAATTGAATCAATTCTTAACTAATTTATTAATTTGACGTGCTTCAATCAAAAATGTTTGTTGTCTCGCGAGTAAATGTGAAACAAAACACTTTAATGGTATGATGCAAACTGATTCACAATTCAGTCAGTGAGTTGATTTAAACATTTGATTCGTTTCAGTGAAAAAGTGTTTTTAATTGAATCAATTCTTAACTAATTTGTTAATTTGACATGCTTCACTCAAAAATGTTTGTTATCTCGCGAGTAAATGGGAAACAAAACACTTTAATGGTATGATGCAAACTGATTCACAATTCAGTCAGTGAGTTGATTTACACATTTGATTCGTTTCAGTGAAAAAGTGTTTTTAATTGAATCAATTCTTGACTAATTTGTTAATTTGACGTGCTTCACTCAAAAATGTTTGTTGTCTCGTGAGTATATGGGAAACAAAACACTTTAATGGTATGATGCAAACTGATTCACAATTCAGTCAGTGAGTTGATTTACACATTTGATTCGTTTCAGTGAAAAAGTGTTTTTAATTGAATCAATTCTTGACTAATTTGTTAATTTGACGTGCTTCACTCAAAAATGTTTGTTGTTTCGCGAGTAAATGGGAAACAAAACACTTTAATGGTATGATGCAAACTGATTCACAATTCAGTCAGTGAGTTGATTTACACATTTGATTTGTTTCAGTGAAAAAGTGTTTTTAATTGAATCAATTCTTAACTAATTTGTTAATTTGACGTGCTTAGCTCAAAAATTTCGGTGAATCAGTTCAAAGTGTCCATTTCAATGAATCAGTTCGTATTTGATTTGTTTTACACAAAACGTGCTTCACTCAAAAAATGTTTATCTCGCAATTTGCATATCAGCGATTCTTTAATACCGGTAGTGTGATTCAAATTAATTCAATATTCAGTTGAAAACATCATTTGATTTATTTTAGTGAATCACCTTATTGCAATTAATTTAATACATCTGTGCTTCATACAAAAATGTTCTTTGTTTAACAATTTAGCCATTTGTGTTATTTGTTTTATGCAATTTGTGTGGGTCAAGTAAGTATTTGTATGTTTCGTTATTGTGGCGCATACAATTATTATTGTTCCTCTGAATGGGAAAAAATAAATAATATTGAGATGTTCAATATATTAAAAAATATCAAGATGCATATTGTTATTTTCAGAATTTTTATTTAATTTATTTGGCCAAATCACTCAGCCTTAACTCAAACACAGATAGTGGTATTTTCAGGAAGGTGATATGCTTGAATGAATGTGTGTCACAGGAGTATCTGGACGTACTGGGCCGCCCCATGGTCCTGGCAGGGAGAAGTGCCAAGCAGGTGCAATGGACCAACGTCTATCAGGATGCTCTGGTGAGAGTCGCTTCCCCCCTCCTGCTGTCTCTGAGACATATGGGCCGCTTTGGGTCCGTCGTACTAACACACGTGAGTTTCTGCTTCGCTCACAGGGTTTGGGGCTGGTGGTGACGGGGACGATGCCGGTCTTCAACCTCACCATAGACGGAAACTCTCAGGTGACGCTCGGTTACTGGTGGATCGTCATCACGCTGAACTCTGCTGTGTGCAGGTCATTGATGTGTGTTTGTGTGTTCAGAATCAGCTGCTGTTAGGGGTGATGGGGGTCGACGTTCATCTGGATGAGCTGAAGAGACTCACGCCACAGTACAAGGTGAAGTCTTCTACACACACAACCTGCAACTGTTATCTAGAGCTACTTTTACCTTCTAGTTGTGTTGGTGTAACCTCTTTAGGTTGATTTATTTATGTTTTTCTCTAAAAAGGTTAGACGTCACCACATTAAAAAGTTAACCATCAGTTTATATTAATATATTTTAACCATCAGTGTAATGATAAAATATAATGTTTTATCATCACACACATTTTTAAAAACCTCATTTACCACATTTAGAAAAACATTAACACTTTTATATTTTATTATATTATATTTTTATTTTATATGACGCTATCTTATATTATATAATATTATGTTGTTAATGTTTTTCTAAATGTGGTTAATGAGGTTTATAAAAATGTGTGTGATGATAAAACATTTATATTACATCATATTAATAATATATTAATATACACTGATGGTTAAATGGTTACTTTTTTAATATTTGTGAAATTACATATCTTAATAAAAATGCGTATTCATTTATTATATCACATTATAAACGTTTTATAAACATTTTCATTTATATTTAAATTGTGTTACTGATTAAATATATATTAATTATACTACAGTATAGACATTTATTAGTTTAAATTATATTATAAATATATTCATGTAAATTATTCTTTTTTTGTAAATGTGGTTAACAAGGTTTTTTCAAATGTATGTTACTGATATAAAAATATTTTGTTATTTTATATTTTAAACATTAATTTTTACTATATTGTGAAGTGTGTTTTTCTAAATATGGTTAAGGGGGGTTTAAAAAATTGATAACTTATGAAACATATATTATATTGTATTACATTATATTATATAAAATGCTTGTCCAATCAGTAAAAAAATTGTGTTTCCTCCAAAACCTTCATGTTAAAAGTTATAGCATGATTTACCATTTTATCATAGCATTTAATATTAGCAATTTTGTGTATGTCTCAGTTGCAATTGTTGATTTACATCATACAGTACATTGTAATTGTATTATTATTTATTGTATAAAAACTAGTGTTGTATCCCTCCACTATGAGAATCAGGAAACATCCTCACAGATTGTTTATCTCGTTCTGTGTGTATAGCTGGGAGCAAACGGATACATCTTCGCCATTGACCCAAATGGATACGTGCTCATGCATCCGAACCTGCAGCCTCGAGTGAGACTCTGTGCAAACTGAAAGGAATAAACAATCCCGCTCATTTTTTCTTTTAATCATTTCATTTTCATGAACAAAATGCACCAACAGCCCATTTTTGTATTTTGTTTTATTTTGAGGAATGCAATATGTTCTTGATGGGTTTTAGTAAGATTCATCATACTCATCATGAGTGTTTGTCTCAGTGTTATTTCAGTATAATTGATATATTTTTATTAATATTTTTAATAATATTTTCCATTTTAATTTGAGTTAAAGGTTTTGTAATTGGGTTGTGCATTTTTGTCTTTTTTTTGTCTAAAATATTTATATTATTTTTATTTTTGAAATATATATATATTTATTTATTTATATGTATTTTAGAACTTATAGTTAAACTAAATAAAAATAGATTTGTTGCCTTGGCAAGTAGAAATTTCAGTTACCGTTTATATTATTCAAGTAACGAAAATGTTTTTAGTTTTAGTTCGCAATAATAACCCTGGTTTGTGCTGATGTTTGTGTCTTTACAGGAAGAGGATTTGCCAGAGCCGGTGACACTGGACTTCCTGGACGCAGAAGTAGAAGACAGTAGTAAACAGGAGGTGCCGTCTGTACTGATCAACAGTTCTGAGTATCCTCGCATGAACTCGCATCTCTGTTGTTCATAATAAATGAATCATTGTTTTCGGAGTGGGCGGCACCGGCACACTCACTTCATCTGTGAATCATTTGTCTGATAATTTATGTTAAATAAACGTTCAAACGCCTGCTTTTGATCCTTTTCAGATTCGTCGGCAAATGATTGATGGCCGATCAGGAGAAATTACGATCAAAACTCTAATTAAATCAATGGACGAGGCAAGTGTGTGCAATTAATGTGTCAGATGAAACTAGGACATGTGTGATATCTGGGACATGACTTTCTATATATGGCTCAAAATTACAGTTTCAAATTTCAGATATACATGTCTATGATGCCCTAAACGATGTCATTAATTAGCTGCACCCCAATTTGCCTAATTGCGTTATGACCCAAATATGCAATAGAAGTATATACTTCACTACTAATGTTAAATTAAATATTTTGTAAGTACTCCAGTTTTTACAGAAAATTACATCTTAAAACCTTTTATTTATCCAAGATTTTAAAATCTAGATACATTTTGTTGTTAAAATAAAAGTAATTTGAAATATTTAAATTTTATAAGAAGCCCGTAAATGAACGTAAAAAAAAAATATTTCAATGCTTTTGATTTCTCTCGCAAAAGTTTTGCATCCCCCCGGATACATTTTTGCGTTTTTGTTCGCTCTCAAAAACGAACTCGAAAGTTTTTCAACGGAACGCAAAGTTTCTCAGTGAAACATTTTTAGAGCGGATGACAAGTTTCTCAAGAGTGCAAAACATGGATGCATACTTCAAAAATCCATCCGAAATAGTGTGCACTACATTATTTAAGTGCATTAAATACAATTTTGTAGTGCTCTTCTATTTGAGACATACATAGAATGGCTAGAAGGTCTCGTTTTAGAAGGTTTAGTTAGAAATCTTACAAGATTGAAAGAGATCTGTGCAATTTTCTGATACATCTTAGCGAACGTGCCATCAATACACCGTTAAAAATTTTGCGTAAAAATGTCTGATAATGAAATGTTTTTCTTGCAGCGCTACATTGATGATGTCACACGCATTTACTCCTGGACACCAATTAACGACACTGATTACAGGTATGAGTCAATCGGGCTGTTCTGATTGTACAGTTTGACGTCAAACGTGCTGAACTCATTGGTTGTTTCCATGTGTCGCCCCCTGCAGTCTGGGTCTGGTACTTCCTCCGTACAATGAATATTACATCCAGGCTGATCTCAGCGATGTCATTCTCCAGCTGCAGTGTGAGTGTCTCCTTTAATACGGATGCTGTCTTGTGTAAGATTAGTGATCCTCCTGTTTCATCCTCAATAATCTCTCCTGCCCTTCTCTCAGATTTACAGTCTCTGCTGCCGAACTCTTTTGAGTCCGCTGGTCATGTGTTTCTGGCCCCCAGGTTTGTGCTCATAGATCTAATGTGATACTTCCTCTGTTAAATATATGTGAGCTCACTGGCTGTCTCTATCTGTAGAGAATACTGCAAGCGTCTGCAGTTGGCGGAGAATAACACACAGTTCCTGGCCAACTTCCTGTCTCTGATGGTGGAGATTTCACCTGAAACTGAAGACTGTGAGTAAACCGGAGAACAACACCAGCACTGATTATGACTGATTTTGTCCTCTGATAATTCAAATATTGCAGCATTCATTATTAAATATTACAGCTGTTATTAAATATTACAAAATTGATTTATAATTATTACAGCATTGATTACTAAATAATATACAGCTCTCATAAATATGACAGCATTTATTACTAAATATACAGTTCTGATAAATATAATATTGATTACAAAATATGACAGCTCTAATTAAATATAGCAGCATTTACTTCTAAATAAACAGCTTTAAATATTACTATAATGATTATTAAGTATTACTGTGTTTATTATTAAATATACAGCTTTAATTATGTATTACACTATTGATTACTAAATAAATATTACAGTATTGATTACTAAATATTAAAGCTTTATTTAAATAAAACAGCATATATTACTGCATATAGAGCTGTAATTAAATATTACTTCAATAATTAAATATTAAAGCGTTATTAAATATTTCAGTATGGATCACTAAATTGTACAGTATTGATTACTAAATACTACAGCTCCATTTAAATATTATAATATTAAATCAGTGATTACTAAATATGCAGCTATAATAAAATATTACCGCATTGATTGATAAATATTATCAATATATATTTATTAATTACAATTTCAACATTAATTTCTAAATATTACAGCTCAAAGTAAATACATATATATATATATATATATATATATATATATATATTATGTTTATTTGACAGGGACAAATGCATAAAACATTGCTTTATAAAGAATACAAAGTACAGTATCAATGGTACAGCATCAATCACTAAATATTTCAGCAGTTATTACTAAATATTACAGATCTAATTAAATAGTACACTATTAAATACAGCTCTTATTAAATATGACTATATTGATTAATACATATTGTAAATATTACAGCTAATGGCTAAATATTACAGCATTGATTACTTAATAGTACAGCTAGTATTGATACTAAATATGACATTATTATATTACAGGACTCATAATTAAATAAAAGTAATATATTTGCAATAACTAATAAAAACAATATCCTCATGAACTAAGACTAAATCATGATGCACAATTAAATATTTTCTCTTCTTCTGAAATGTGAAGACTTTATTTATTACCCGTGAGAATCTCATAATGTCATGTTTTTAACCGTGGTCACAGGTGATCATGGACTCATTCATAACCTGATCCTGGATTCGATGATCCTCTGGCAGCTCGCCACGCGCGTTTGGCAGAACAAAGACCTCAACACGTAAGATCAGACCTGTCAGAGTCTGTTGATTTACTGTGAACGCTTTCAGGTGTTCAATACACTCATTTCTGCAGGTACGGCTTCTTGGCACTGTTCGCGTCCACCAATGGAGGCGTCACACGCGTTTACCCCAACATGTGAGTGACGACACTGCTGGTACTGTAGTGACTTTACAATTACTACTCGTTATAATATGTGTGTGTTTGTGTGTTTCAGGGCTGCTGAATCATGGGACGAGGACCCGGAGCCTCTGAACTCAAACTTCTTCCGTCGCAGTCTGGACAACAAAGGCTACATCTTCAGAGCGCCAACACGAGCCTGTGAGCCCAATAAATTACAAACACTAAGCAAAAACTGGCAGACCAATAAATCAACCTATGGATAATAATGTTTGGGTTTTTTTACTTCATAACAACAGCTGTCTCTGCTGCAAAATGTACTGGTATCTACAGTATATCATTTTTTTAAACAAAACGAATTAATGATATTATTATAAAAGAATATTATTTAAAATAATATTAGTATATTTAGAAAATAATATTAGTATATTTAGAAAATATTTGTTATTTTTTTATTTATTTATAATTTGAGTAAATGCTATTTTTTGTTCATTAAATTGCATTTAAATTTTAGCATCATTAAATCAGATATTAGCCACCATGTTCTGTAGATATGAGGCCTTATTGCTCAACGGCTAAATAAAATCATAATTATCAACCCTAAAACTGAGCCCATTTAGCTTTCATAATGTGACATATTTCGAATCGTTAGGAGGATATTCAATTAGAAAATAAAAGTTGGGTGGGTCTTGTCTTTTACAGATTGATTAGATGGTTCATACATTTCATACCGATTTTAGAAGTTACGAGTCATTACAAAAGATTATGAAGACATTTTGGGCAATAAAACCGAGAACATTTGTTGAGACACTAAATTAAGTCCATTTTGATATCCTGAAATCATTAAGAATGGGTGATATTCATGCCTTTATGTAAAATTTTCTCTGATGTTTGTGTCTAGCGATGGATGATCTGTTAATCTCAGAGAACGGCACTGTGGGGATTCTGGTCACCACCGCTGTGGAGGTCGTGATCGGAGGCAGAACCATGAGGCCTGCTGGTGTGTTTCTCACAAAGCTGATAAATCATCACGGTGGAGGTTTAAAATCACATTGACAATCCTCATCGTGTGTTCCTCTTATTAGTGGTTGGCGTTAAGCTGGATTTTGAGGCCTGGGTCGACAAGTTCAAGATCCTCGCCAGCAACGTATCAGACAGCAAGCAGTCCGCACATAAGGTCAGATTTTTTGGGAAGAGAGGAATTATGGAAGAAAAGTGTCACCCCTCTCACATTATGTTCATCTGTACTGGCATGAGTGTGGTGGTGAGATGTTGTAACTTCATGTTTGTGTTGTGCAGTGTGGCCCGTCCAGATCCTGTGAGATGGACTGTGAAGTGAACAGCGATGTGAGAAAACCTGCACACTCAAACTCTACATGATAGCAGATCTTCTTGGCTGTGCATGTTTTGGTTGATCTTGTTTTGAATGTGTGTTTCAGGATTTGCTGTGTTACCTGATCGATGATGGCGGTTTCCTGGTTATGTCCAATCAGAGAGATCACTGGAAAAAGGTAGATGCACCCAAACACCAAAAATAATATTTATATAGTCACATGAAATCTATCTATATATAAAAATCTTATAGAAAATGTTTAACACTATATTATATTATATTTATATTATATTTAGGGCTGTCGATTTAATGTTAATTTAATTAATTAAATAAGTAATTTGTTTTAGAAAAAAAAATTGGGATTGGGAGGCGAAATATGATGATACAAGGTTCTGCCCGACAGCGACGATATATATAGAATATAATACATTTAGATTGTAGAATACTCAAATTAAATTCGCATTTGTGTTAGCTACACATTAATCATGATTCATTAAATGACAGGCTTTGCTCAAACTTTTGCCATTGTGTTACACTGTTGTCGCTTGCGAAAATCAAATGGCGGCGATATGGGTGTAATGGTGTGTTCACACCGAACGCGAATTTAATCGTTTGCGCGAGTAGATTACATACAAAGTCAATGCAAAGACGCGAATAGACGCATCATTCGCGCCGGGCGTTGCGAATGGCGCGAATTGGGCGACGCGTTTTACCGCGAACGACTTCCGCGCAAGTTGAAAAACTCGAGCAAAAGATTCGCATGACGCTTTGTTGTGCCAGCCAATCGATACGTCCGGTCTATCACTGTTGTCGAAAATGGAGGAGATGCTAATTGTTGCCGTCTGTGGGTCCCCTGAAGTATATGATACAACGTCGTATGCGTCGAGACAGGCTGTCATCCAGGCGCAGTTCCTGGAGAAGACGGTGAAATTCACCGAATTGAGTTCGCCTCTGGATGGTGCTGTGAACCCAGACACGTCGGCGTTTGGCTTTCCTCCGTATTTGGGACTTCCACAACAAGTACGGAGCAGCAATATCTTTTATTTCAGTGTTCAGACATGACGGAAACGTATGCCCGAAAGAAATTGTGCTGTTTGTTTTTTTTTATTCGCGAGTGATGCGGACTCGCGAATGGGTTCAAATGTTCAAGCGTCTAACTAGACGCGGTAGACGCGTATTTGACGCTCTATTCGCGTTCGGTGTGAACACACCATAAGTGTGCAGATTAAGGGGCGGTAATATTATAATAAGATCCCTTTCCTACGTCAGAAGTGGAGCAAAAATTTGATCGGCATATTTTTTACATGCTTGCAGAGAAAGGCTTACCAAAACGTTACCAACGTTACTGGGTTGTCTACACAAAGTTACACGTTTTCTGGTTTGGTAGATGCACCGGAGACCCGATTATAGCACTTAAACACAGGAAAAAGTCAGATTTTCATGATATGTCGCCTTTAATATATGAATAAGCACGTCTTTATGTCCACGTCTGTCTCAGGTGGGGCTGTTCTTTGGCGAGGTCGACCCCTACCTGATGTTCGCCCTCTACAACAACTCAATCTACGCCCGCCATCAGACCTTCCAGTTTCAGTCGGCCTGTGAGCCGACGGCCAGCAGCCACACGGGAGCCGCACACAGAGGATTCTACGTGGTGAGAAACTCATGTGTTCATGTTCAATTGATTCATTTATGGTGCTGCAGTCCATTTGAATCTCATGTAGGGAAACTGATGAAATGCAGCAGTGTTTAGGCGATAAAAGTCTTTGTTTGTCACTAGCCCTCCATTGCTGATTTCCTCAGTCTGGCCTGGTGGACGTCAGCAGCAGCGTGGTGAGTACAACTGGGGAACGTCTATAAAACATTCCCTGTTGGTTGATAGAGAGATTATGATTCAGAAGATATACATCAAATATAAGAAAGTGAAATTCTGTTTTGGTAAATCCGTTCATGATAACATTGTTTCAGATACTCATGCGTTAATGTCGCTGGTCTCTTTCAGGTCTGTTCTCCAGCAGTCCCTGTATGGACTTATCTACAGCAGCTGGTTCACCACAGGTTTGTTTTTCTCAGATTTTGTCACATTGTTAAAAAGAACATCTACAACAGGTCATAGTGGTCTGTTGGCTTGTTTTATAGGGCACATTTAAGCTGTTTAGGCTGGTTGGAGAAGTTTTTCTCAGCAGGACCATCTAAAGCCTCGTGCAAACCCGGACTTTTATCGCTCGCACTTATCGCTGACATTTTTCAACGTGTCTTTTTGTTCATACCCAAGCGATTTTCACTGGTTATACGCAGAGTGAATGTGAAAATTCACTCCCAAACAGTAGATGGCGCTTATTGAAAAACAGTTCGCAAGTACACAAGGTGGCGCTGTGCAACTTTATGCTTCTGACATTCACACACTTTTTGCTAACTGGCAAACAGATCATGGATATTTTGAGCAGCAGCAGCTCCAGCAATAAAAAAATTATTGTTCTATTGAATGAGGAAAGGCGACGGAAAAGACGCCGATATTGTAACTTCAGCAGTTCTCATTGGTCGGACAATTTTTAACGCGGCTTTTACGCCTGCCGCTTTGCATGCCGGTGTGCATACTCACTTTGCCGCCCTTTGTTTAGTCACGAGGCGCTAAACGTCGTCGATAAGCACGAGCGATAATTGTCCCGGTGTGCTCGAGGGTTAAAGCCCATTCTAACCAAAATTCAACATCTGAAACGCTCGTAGAAAGCAACAAGGTGTATCGCAGAAATACCATTATGTTTCTAAAGTAATGAAGCAATACTCCAAACACAATACATTTTAAATAGATATCTGCTCTTGATACTTCATAGAATATATTTTTAAATGAGCTTTGATCATTCTTGGATTGCATTATACCCATTTTCTAGCAGACGCCTGGGCTGAGAGTTCAGACTCTAAAGGGAGCACCAGCTGCGTGACAGTTCACAGTCAGTTCTACTTCACCAACACCACCAACTCCTTCAATGTGCTGCAGGACTGTGGGAACTGCTCCAGGTGTGTGTTTGTGTGCGAACAGTCCTATGTGGATTTGAACACACTTTTCTGACCACAAACACTCTTTCTGTCAGGTTGTTTCACGCCAAACGTATAGAAAACACGAACCTGTTGTTTGTGGTGGCTGAGACACTGCCCTGCAGCTCTTGCGAGATCGAGAAACTCCTGCCTGTCAGAACAAAGTGTATCCTTCCTTCCCATGATCCCCTGCTCACAGAGCAACTCTAACAGCAGTGTAACAAAAGAAACTCCAAACTCCAGTCTAACACCAAAGAAACAATATAGCTAACACCATAGCAACCTCATAACATTGTGCTAGCAACTGCCAACAATATTCAACACCTTAACAAACTGCTTTTAACCCTCAAATTCTCTGTTTTCTGCTTGATTGATGGATGGATGGATGGATGACAGACAGAGCTTGTGGCGTTTCCTTAATGCTTTCTTCTCCAGCTCAAGAAGAGAACCCATGTGATGTGTTAAATTCTGCCCGCTATCGGAAAGGACCTGACAAATGCTTCGACTACAACTCAGAGGTGAAGTTGCTTTGATCAAACACTGTTGTTTGTTTGCTTCTTTAGTTGATATTTTGTAAAGATGATTTTTATATTGGAACTGCGCCCTAGCAGCCTAACCTTACATCTTGCTAACCAACTAGAACACCCTAGAAACTACATAGCAACACACAACATCATAGCAATCTCAAAACGTCCTAGCAGCTGCCAGAAAAATTTGAGCAACCACACAGCAACATCCTGGCAACCACCCTGAACACCCTAACAACCTCATAACATTGTGTCCTAGCAACTACCATGAACACTCAAGCAACAACATAGCAACATCCTGGCAACCACCCTGAACACCTTAACAAACTCATAACATTGACCTAGCTACTACCAAGAACATTCAAGCAACCACATAGCAACATCCTGGCAACCACACAGAACACCTTAACAACCATACAGAACACCCTAACAACCTCATAACATTGTCTTAGCAACTACCAAGGACACTCAAGCAACCACGCAACATCCTGACAACCACCCAGAACACCCTAACAACCTCATAACATTGTGTCCTAGCAACTACCAAGAACACTCAAGCAACCACATAGCAACCACCCTGAACACCTTAACAAACTCATAACATTCATCCTAGCAACCACATACAGTAGCAACATCCTGGCAACCACACAGAACACCTTAACAACCACACAGAACACCGTAACAACCTCATATCATTGTCTTAGCAACTACCAAGAACACTCAAGCAACCACACAGCAACATCCTGGAAACCACCCAGAACACCATAACAACCTCATAACATTGTCCTAGCAACTACCAAGAACACTCAAGCAACAACATAGCAGCATCCTGGCAACCACCCTGAACACCTTAACAACCTCATAACATTGTCCTAGCTACTACCAAGAGCACTCAAGCAACCACATAGCAACATCCTGGCAACCACACAGAACACCTTAACAACCACACAGAACACCCTAACAACCTCATAACATTGTCCTAGCAACTACCAAGAACACTCAAGCAACAACATAGCAACATCCTGGCAACCACCCTGAACACCTTAACAAACTCATAACATTCATCCTAGCAACCACCAAGAACACTCAAGCAACCACATAGCAACATCCTGGCAACCACACAGAACACCTTAACAACCACACAGAACACCCTAACAACCTCATAACATTGAACACCTTAGTAACATAATAACATTACACTAGCAACCACGAATAACACTCAACCAACCAGATAACAGCATCCTGGCAATCCCCAAGAACACCCTACCTACCTCATTACATTGTCCTAGCAACCACCAAGAACACTAAAGCAACGGCATAGCAACATCCTGGCAACTATCCAGAACACTCTAGAAACTACATAGCAACTAAGAAAATCATAACAGTGTCCTAGCAACAAACTAGGCAACCACCCACAACTCTCAAGCAATCACAAAATAATGTCCTGTCAACTATTCAGAATACCAAAGAAACAATATAGCTAACACCATAGCAACCTCATAACATTGTGCTAGCAACTGCCAACAATATTCAAGCAACCACATAGCAATGCACTAAAACCTCTTGGTAGACTTTAAAACTGCATAGCAACACCCTAGCAACCAGCAACAAAAAGCCTGGCATTGTTATAGTACATTTATGTTGAATGTTAACCATAACATCCTCTGTGTCCCGCAGGAGAACACATCTGAGTGTGGCAGCGCTCACTCTTTACACTGTCCCATGGGAGTTCTGCTCTGGATTCAGTTATTGTCGCTTTACGTCATTCTACGATCGTAATCTACAGAGTCCCACTGGCTTTGGTGTTCCTGTCCCTCATCTGTACAACACTCCGGGTCCAATCCTGACATCCTTCTGATTTTCCAGCTCTCTTTCTCATCGTGAGCTGCATTCCAGCTGTGTGCCATTACAGCAGAGCATGATGGGAAAACATGTCTTAGTAACCCGTGACATTGTGCAGATCCCAAAAAATAAAAACAACTGTCTTAAATCATTCACCTTTATATTCGGAAAACGTACAAAACAACAACAACAACAACCTTTCTGCTGCCGTGAAGTATTTTTGCTTGCCAAACCCAAAAACAGGAAAGGACCTGGTTTGTTTCGAAAGACTGAAACACGACACAAGTTTTGACAGTTATTATCACAATCTCGCATTGAGTGTTTATTCGAGTCTTGCTTTGTTCTTTGGATTTAGTGCCAAACCCTGATGTATGTGGATGCTCATATGCGTGGGACACGCAGCTTTCATTGAAATATTTTGTTCCAAGGCCATGTTGCCAAAAGAGAATGCCGTAATATCGCAAACAAGAAAAAGATTTTGATTTCGCTTTGTGTTTATTTACAGCTTTGCCGAATGTTTAAGGGCATATATTGTGTATAAAACTGCTGCCTGGTTTGTTACCCAACAGTGCCTTGGCGCACTTGTCCAAATGGACCAATAATAGCACTGGATGTGGATTTGAGTGACCCGGAATGAATGCTGAAGAAAGTTACGGTATTGAATGTTAACTTGACTTTGGTTTACAGCATAAGGGTGAACGTCATGAAACCTGGCAAACATACGTTTTTCACCCTGAATCAAAACAAACCAAAAAATTCACAAAGAAAATGAAGCCTATTTTGAGGACCATTAAGATTTTAAAAATAATAAAGTTAATTTTCCTAACAATTCTCATTACCGTAATAAAAAAAAGTTTATTCTCATTACCGTAATGTGAAAAAATTCAAATTTTAGCAAGTTATACTGCCTTACTTTGTGATTATTTAAATGTATCTTACTGTAATTCAGTAAAAATACATTAAAGTAATGTAACACAAAAAAATCAAGTGTTCCTACAAATACCCTTCATTGAAAAAAAACGTTCTCATTACCGTTATGTGGAAACAATCCTAATTTTAGCACTTGTTATATTACCTTAATTTGTGATTATTTAAATATTTTTTACTGAAATTCAAATAATGTAACAATGTGAAATATCCACAGTGTTTCTACAACACCTTTCATTTTCTATTTATAATTGTTTTTTCTGTTGAATTTGGGGGGATTTCTCGTGAGACTCGCCCGCGCACGTCCTTTAGCATTCAGTATGGGTTTTACTATACACGTTCTACTGATTCTGTCTTTAGAAAGGCACTCAAATTGTTTTAAATTCTTTTGATGTAAATATGGTTATTCCACACTGAGTTGATCTAGTGTGTTTTAATGAAATGGAATGCAAACTGATGTCTCGCTGTCCTGCTGCATGCTGGGGGAAAAACGATAACTGCTATTAAACTTAATAATGAATGATTTCAGGACATTTACTGGAAAGACACTCGACCCTTACAGCCATTCGATGGACCAATTTTATGTTCTCATTGAGTTCATTGATGCTATCGAAGGGTCGATATGTATTGATTTTGATTTAGTTTAAAAGATACGTTGTGTATATTGCTTGCGAAATGTATCGAGTGTGAATTTTGAGACGCTTTCATGCTTTTATTGAGATGTTTTGGTTTTTATCGCTGATGTTTTGTTGCTTTTCATTGATTATCGATAACAAAGGTCAATCTAGAAAAAAAAATTTGAGTTGGTGGTACTTCATCTTTTAATGTGGCCACACTTCCAAAACACCTGTACTTCCAAATGAATCCGACTGGGCCAAGATTCTGAAAGGGTTTCGCTTGACGTGTTTTGTATCGTAATGGCTTGAGCAATACTTTGAATTATGTCAACAACGCTGAAATGCAAGTGAGCGCTACTGAATTAGTGTAAGGAGAGCATGAAATCAGTATTGAGCCGCTTTCTTTGGATGACTTTGATTCAGGCTTGTCTTTGAATATCGGCTTAATGTTTGTACGTGAGCTATGAGTGTTCTAACAGAATTATTTAATGCCAATAAGAGTATTTATACTACTGTCTTTATGTAAAATTATCTCTGTGTTACATTGAATTTAATTATGTGAATAGGAATGTTTTAAGTATTTTTTTTTCTGCAGATGTTTGTACATTTTGTGAAAGGGTTTTTCCTCCCTTTCTGCAGTCTTCCATATCACTTCATTTTGTACAGATGGCACAAATCTATCAAGAAATTTGTATCATATTGTGTCGTTCTCTTCTGGGAGATGTTTATAAGAGAATTGGTGAGATAAAGACATTCATATTTTTCACGTCAACTTGGTATGGATTTTTATTTTTTACTCCAGAATAATGTATTTGATAATGAAAGAACAGCAGGTTTTTATTACAGCAGTAAAACAAGCACAAGTAATCATATTTTATGGTTACTTCCTGTGGTGTTCTAGGCTTTTTTTCAGTTATTAATATATTTATTTTCAAATTTTTACTTATTTGTACTTTAACACATTAGCTTTTTTTTTTATCTATTTAGATTTTAGATCTTTCTATATTTATTTTATTTTAAAGTATTTAGTATGTTCTTTTTATATTTTTACTAAACCAGAATGCTGAAAATGATTCACAAGCCGAAGGAGTTTCTAAATGGATATGAAATTTGTTGTTTTTTCCCCCTATAAAGCTTTGAAAGAAAAACCATGACAAAGAATCACCACAGCTTCCTCAGCCAGATGCTTGGCCTTCACTTTAAGCTGGAGCTTGTCGACCAGACCCTTTAGTCTGGTCACGTTCTTCTTGTCTTCCTCTGTCTGTAAAGTAGAAATTGTTTAAAACCCCATCCAGCACTGTAAATTGTTCAATCTTTCATTCCACTGCACAGATTCTTCTTCATCCTCTGCAGGTGAGCACTGGTGTCCTGTTCCTTCAGCTCCTCATCCATCATAGCATCATTAAAATAAAGAGCCATATAAGATTGCTGAACTATAAGACAGCATCTTTGAAGATCTGTTATATTGGAAGTGGAATAGAAAAAGTAGTAAACACTCACATCATTGATGAACCAAATCAGCTTCAATCTTCTTGGCGTTAATAAGACTTGTATTCTCTTGAGTTTCCCCCCTCTTCTTTCCCTTCCTCAATAACCAAAATAATAAAAATTCAGTTATGCGTCTTTGAAGCAGAAAATGGCATAAACCACATGCATGAATCACAAGTTTCAATACCAGCTGAAGCCAGTTTTCCAGTGGATCTAAAGTAAATCTGAATGAATTTACCCGAAGGAGAAGGGAATGATTCAGAATTTCAAAAATGTATTCAAATTACCTCACAGACTTACAAATTAATGCCTCACAGTCTTTGCATTACCAAAAGCCTCCAGCAGTGGGTTGGCAGGAATGATTTGATCATCTAGCGAGCCCTGGTGGGCATAAAAGTTAATTCATGTAGAATTAGATGCTGACAGTATTTTCCTCAGCTCTTGAGCTCCTATTTTGTGAGCACCGATTGTTTCACAACAAAATGTTTTACCTTGAAGGAATATCCTGTCCCCTGAACTATTTTGAAAATAATCTGCGTGAATAAAACATGTTTAACTAACAATAATTATTTTAAATCAAGGTGTTTGTGTTACTGTAACCGTCTGAAACATCACATCAGTGGTCACTTACGCCCAGGCTGTTGCATCGCGAGATATGTGCAAGTATCGCGAGAGGTGAGCTGGAGCAGGAAGTGTAGTGAAGATGGATGGTGTCGGATTATGTGCTAACAACAAACAGAAACAAAATCAAATGTTACCGAACAAAATGCGAGGCGAGTTCACCAGAAACCAGAGGAAAGACTCTGAGGTAAGAGTCAAACGAAGCTGTTTAAATCCCTATGCTTTGTATTTTTGCAGTTTAATGTTTGTTTTGACAGCAATGTTAGCATCAGAAATTCCAAGAAAAAAACATGTATAAAGTGATTAAAAATGCAAATTAAATAAACAACCGTTGATAATATGAAAAGTGCATCATTAACCAATTATAAAAATGTAAGTATGCTTGAACAACGTTTAGTAATTATCTCGTTAATAAAAAAACAGTTATTTTTTATATTAAGCTATACATTAATGCATAAACACGTTAATGAAAAACACATTGAAATGTAATGAGTAAAGTAATTAACATTGCTCATGAATGATTCTTTGTTAAGTTTATCTCTTCTCGTGAGGATTCTGATCCGTTAACGTTATTTATATCAGCTGATTGATTGATGAACATTAATATCGATCTGTCTTACATTATACTTTGCCATAACTTACTTTTAAAATTAGCACATTTATTACAGAACTAATACAATTTAAAAGGATATATAATAGGCTACCTGAGTGCGAAATAAATGTAATGTGTGTTGACTCTCAAGTGCATATTATTTGCAATTAGATTAAAATGTATTGTAAGTGTTGTTTTTTTTAGTTTAAATGAGTACATATTTGTTTATATGCAATTTCGTAATTCTGTTGTCTTGGAAATATTAAAGTTAGGTGCACTGCTGAATGTACCGACAAGCATTTGTTTATTATTCATACATATAGGGCTAGGCGGCCTACCATGTATATATATAGTATACTAAAATATACTTTAATGTAATTTCCATTGAAATTTGCATGTTGTGTATTTAAATATCTTAGAAATTACAAGTTTCTAATGATACAGTTGCAATTTAGTGCATTTAAATAAATATCAACTTTAAATGCAATATCAATTAACATTGTGTTTGTCAATACATCAAAATAAGTTTTAAAGCACAACAAAAGATTATTAAAACAATGATTAAAATATCCTTAAAATATGGGTTAGTCATGAAAGTGTAACTTAAGTTTTGATTGATATTATATCATCTGTTAGAAGTAAAACATTTTAAATATCCTTTTAAGATTTGAAATGCACTACAAGTGCACAGTGCACTTCTTTTTCACAAGGATAACTCATTTCAAACAAGGCTGCATTTACACTGCAGGTCTTAATGCCCAATTCTGATTGGTTGGCTAAATCAGATTTGTTTGTTTATTTTGGTTTTTACTAGGGCTGTGCAAAAGTTAATTGCGATTAATCGCATCCAAAATAAAAGTCTGTGTTTACATAGTATATTTGTGTGTACTGTATATAATTATTTTGTATATATAAATTCACACACATGCATGTATATGTTTAAGAAAATGTGTTATTCCTATATAAAATATTTATATTTATATAATATAGATTGTGTATTTATATATATATACAGAATTTAAGCGCAAATAATTCTTAAATATATACATGCATGCACAGGTATTTATATATACAAAATAATTATATACAGCACACTCCAATATATTATGTAAAACAGACTTTTATTTTGGATGCGATTAATCGCAATTAACTTTTGCACAGCCCTAGTTTTTACATGGAATTACATCTTTTAAATTGGACCCATATCTGAATTTACACTATACACTTGGCAAAACAACCCAAGGTAGATGTACTGACCTGGAAAATCTTGGGCCAAAAAGGGAGTAAAAATTGTGACACAGATGAAATGATAATACAAGCTTTTGCTTTCTGCACCATCTGTGACCACAGGTCAGCAAACAGCATTCATCCTCCTTTCCACCATTGATAAGAGTCATTAGATTGTACCTGAGTAGACAAAGACGTATATTGGACAGGAACATCCGACATTGGTGACATTGGTCAAGTGGACAGGAATATTCAATTTGTAGGACTGAAACCATTACAAGTTTGTGGGTCATATCCAATCTGTCACATGGGAGGGTATAAAACATCGAAATTAGGTCATGTAATGTGAATGCCTGTTCTGTCTATCCTTAAATGTTGTGACTGAATTGTCAGCTCCTATTGGACAGTTACACTGACTCCGTGTTTGTGTCTCAGGGTTTATCAGAGACTCCTGATTTGGAGTTTGAATATTCAGATGCAGATAAATGGACAATCGAACTGTCAGGTGAGAGTTCATTCATTTGGTTTACTGTTCTTCTGTAGTTAATATCATATTAAATGCCCAGCCTTCATTAACCAACTGCGACTACAATAATGCATTTTCCTCTTTTAAGTTGTTTGTAGAGTTGTACAGTTACACAGAGGGACCAGAGTTTCTACTCAACAGAAAGTGCTTCGAAGAAGATTTCCACACTCATAGTAAGTACTGATCAGAGTTATACAAACTCACATTTCATTATTAAAATGTTGTTTTTGTGGCTTTTGCAAGATGATGAGTAAGTCACAAAAGATCAAATGTTCATGTGCTTTTGCAGTGCCCGATCAGAAATGGACCGAACTGGATTTGGTTCAGCACAAAACTCATGCCATGCGTCTGCTGGACGGACTGGACGTGATCGGCCGAGAACGCAGGTTAAAAGTTGCCAGAGCCATCTTGTACATGGCTCAAGGTAAACTATGCATTATATATGCATTGATTTGATTGGAAACTCCCCTGAGTCTCGTGTGAATAAGCTCCGACTCTGACTTTTTTCAGGTACATTTGGTGAGTGTTCCTCAGAACTGGAGGTGCAGCACTGGATGAGGTATAACGTCTTCTTGCTGTTGGATGTGGGAGCGTTCACTGCGCTGATGGAGCTGCTCAACATGGAGATCGAGTGAGATGAACTGCACATTCAAACGTTCATATTACACATGTGAAAACTTCAATAACTCTTGTTAAATGTCTCTCAGTAACAGTGCTGCGTGCAGCAGTGCGGTCAGGAAACCTGCCATCTCATTGGCCGACAGCACTGACCTCAGGTACAACAACACACGTCACATGCATTTAGTATACTTTGGCCATCCATGTGACATTTACACGATAACACAAAACCATGTCCCCTGAGGCGCTCTGTGTTGGAATGTCTTTTTTGTTTTGGTCTGTGTGATCCCGCCCACTATAAATTTACCTAATAGTATTTCGACACACCGGGTTGCCATTTAGCCATTGATCCCAACAAATGAACTAGGTCAGAGATCACATTTTCTACTTTCCCTAAATAGCCTCAGCAATAAAAACATTGCAAATACATTAACTGATCAATTAGTGTACGGCACATCACTTTCCATGGTCAAATCGCGCTTGTTCTTGTTGCGTGTCCTCAATCTGGCAACCCGCGTGAGTGTCGAGTCTGAGGAGGCAGCGTGGTACCCATTTTATCGGCTAGCTGTTAGAGCCCGACCGATAAAGGATTTTGAAGGCCGATACCAATACAAATATTTTTGGGTTTTAAAATCCGATATTCCGATATATCAGCCGATATTTTATTTATTTTTTTAAACTGGACATGATAGTCACAAAT